TACATCAACTTCATTGATTATGAAAAAGCATTCGACAGTGTAGATAGGAGGACATTATGGAAACTTCTTCGACACTACGGAGTTCCTGAGAAGATTGTCAACATTACCCGGAACTCATACGACGGATTACAGTGCAAAGTCGTGCATGGAGGACAACTGACAGATGCATTCCAAGTAAGGACCGGAGTCAGACAAGGCTGTTTACTCTCTCCCTTCCTCTTTCTTCTGGTAGTCGACTAGATTATGAAGACCTCGACATCTAACGGAAAACACGGCATATAATGGACAGCTCAGAACCATTGAGACGATCTAGACTTTGCAGATGACCTGGTCCTTCCATTCCATACACATCAACAAATGCAGATAGACAGTCAGTCTAGCAATAGTCTCTGCATCTGTAGGCAGAAACTGTGGAAGATGTAGAATCCTTTACGTATCGGATGCAGACGTAAAGGAGAGGATTGGCAAAGCAAGGGCCTCATTCCTACAACTGGAGAACATATGGAACTCAAAAAAACTGTCAACCAATATCAAAGTCACAATCTTCAATACGAACGTCAAGACAGTTCTACTGAACGGAGCTGAAACTTGGAGAACTAATACAACCATCATCAAGAAGGTGCAAGTATTTATAAATATTTATCTACGCAAGATAATCAATATCCATTGACCGGATACCATCAGCAACAGACTTCTGTGGGAGAGAACAAACCAGCTTCCAACTAGAGAGGAAATTAGGAAAAAATGATGGGAATGGGTAGGACACACATTCTGGAAATCACCAAACTGCATCATGAGGCAAGCCTTGACTTGGAATCCTGAAGGGAAGCTGAAAAGATGTAGGCCAAAGAACACATTACGTCGGGAAATATAAGCAAACATGAAAAGGATCAATAGGAACTGGAAAGGATTGCTCAGGATAGGGTTGGATGGAGAATGCTGGTGATTGGCCTATGCTCCATCACAAAAAGTAACAGGCGTAAGTAAGTTTGATTTGTGATTTCCTTCCTGTTATTGATTTCCATTCTGAATTTTTGAGTTAAGACTGATTTATAAATGTTTATGAATAAAATACTGTCTATTCTATACTCTGTTTCTCGATATTTGGTCGTGGATCGTGTACTTAGTGTGACGTGATCCTGTTTGCGCATAGTATATCGATCGGGTATCCTGTCTAATAATATCACAATCTCGGTAACTAGTTTGATGATCGTATTATAATAAAATATCGTGGAAACGAGAGAATATATTCACTCTACCTTTATATTAATTTTCATAACTAGAAAATAATTTAATTGCAAGCTGAGTAATATAATACCTTTAGATAAACTCATAGCCCACCCAAACTCTGTCAATAATAATAATAATTGTGAATGACAGATTAATCAATTTTTCTCACATATTTAAGCCGATTTAAGCAGGTCTACTTACTGTGAATTTAAAGAGATATAAGATATTATTAAATCAATTAAATGATCCATATAGATAGTTGGTTAGTTTCGGTAATTTATGTATCAATAAGGTAAAATGATATAACGTAAGCTTACAGAATACGGTCGATATAGACAAACCTTTTGTGTAACGTGTTTAAGGACAACAGATCATTATTCCTGGACTCAAGTATTAATGGTTGGTAAATATTAAAAAAGTGCATGTGCAGTTCTCAGAACGCTGACATTCTCTATAGGATTAAAATATATTTCAGTCCTGCCTGAAATATAGTTGGCTATTTTTTATTGAGACCACGGACAGATTATTGTCATACCACCATGGGAAACCTGAAAGCACTGGACAGCTGCGTCGCCACATGAGACTCCACCGCAGTGCGCAACCACGACCTTGCACATGGCGCTGGAATGTAGTACCTTAGGTATTGTGCGCAAACACGTAATCTCTAGACCACTGAGCCGACATACAACAGTGTTAATGTCTATGATATCATGTGTCCATCTCCCATTGTCCTCGGTGAGTAATTGCCCCACTCCCGACACGGTTGGACTCTACTGGTCACAGCGTTTCACTAGAACTCAGAGAATAACTTCTCAAAGCTAGTCACTTTTAAGCAGATGATATGTCTGTGATGCGCGTTTACGCTACATACGAAGCACTAGTTCTCTCGAAATTCCAGACACACCATACGGATGGTAGACAAATTTTATGGACGTAGTTTAGCAGTTTTATTATAGTAGTGACCATCAAAACAATTATCTTTGTATTAAGTCAGACTATTCATTACAACTTGGTCGATAGAACTTGATTAACAATCAAAACCACCGATGTATCCAGATACATGACGCACAACCATGCTGAATGATATCTATTAATAACTGTCTAGTATATTAGATCAATGAAATGTCGTAAACACTTATATATGCATACATACTACAGAAATCAGAATAACAAAAAAAACCACCTTTATACCGTATCGATCGGTGTAAAAAAAACCATGTGCTTTCTCGCTAAAGGAATCAAGTGATTTATAAACCTTCAATATTTAAGTTTCTAATTAAATTAATATGATCATCCAGATTTGTTTATTATTATTTTGAGTCTGTGGTTGATAGGAATATACAGATGTTTTAACGGAGGGTCATCATCATCTATTCGTTAAGCTGGGAGCAAAACATGTCTTTACTTTGAATTAGCCAACCTATTTGGGGGCTAGAATCATTTGATACAATGACGTCTGGGAATATAAGTTTTAGTTCAGAGAGATACTCGTAAAATCTATTTTCTACTTCTGTGCTCCAGTTGGTAAAACAATAAGTAGAGAAAACGATGTGATGACAAAAGATTAAGCGGTCAATACATCAAATACACGAAGAGATATTCGAATCCTTCAAGCTAACTAGGTGAAGTTAAATGAATAAACAAATATGATCCCTGTATGAATTGCAGAAAAAGGATACGTTGATAGCACAACAATCCACAGCTTTAGCTAAAATCTATGTTGGTCGATTTTACATAGACAGGGTTTGAGCATTCAGAGCGCTAATATGTAGTTTGGAATGACAACTTGCACGACTCAGAACAACAGTGTCCATTAAACAAATACATATTCCTAATTGTTATATTTCAAATTTTGTAATACAACTAAATTTAATCAAACTACAAATACAAAACTCAGTGTAATTTCCAAGTCATTTCCAATTACACTTAAAAACTACTATTAATAGGTACGAATTTACTTTTTTCATACGTGTCAAACATGTCGTATGATATTTATTTATTTATATAATTTCTCACATTACCCTAAGCTCTTCATAATTACATACAACCAAAAAAAACACGTCTTGTAGCTTAAATCTTTAGATTTTATAGATTAAAATAAATGTGAAATGGTTGCGCTGGGGTGAATGATAAAGATTGTAACCTAGGAAACTAATTTATAAACTATTATATATATATATATATATATATATATATATATATATATATATATATATATATATATAGTATAATTACAAAATAACTGGACTATCGTTGCTATTACTATTCTTAATTTGTTGACAATCACATCAAGCTTGTCCACTTTCATTGCCACATTTGAGATGGTGGATGCGTCGCTCAATTTCGTGGATTAGTTGAAGTTAGACATTAACACCGTTTGTATGCCGGCTCAGTGGTCTAGTTGGTTAAGCTCCTGGCGCGAGAATGATAGGTCTGGGTTCGAATCCCGCGAGGCGGGGTCATGGATGCGCATTGCTGAGGAGTCCCACAATAAGACGAAACGGCCTTCTAGTGCTTCCAGGTTTTCCATGGTGGTCTAGATTCAATAAATAATAATAGAAGCTTAGTTGCAGTATTCACTTTTCAAACTCAAATCTGGGGACAGAGAAAGGTGTGAGAGTTTTAAAATCAATAAGAGTGAAGTTTGTGTGAACTCGAGATTTCGGTCAGATCGTATCATTGGTCAAGGTTCAAAAACGATACTAAACAGAATATGCGGGGTCAAATTATATTATGAATGGGAATCAGATAAGCGAACTTACAAAGTGATGTACATTGATATTTCTTAGATATAACAAATATACGGATAATTTTAATCGTGACACTATTTACTGGCTAATAATGATGAAATTCATTTAGTCAAGAGGTTTTGGAATGATTTCTATATTTAAGGAAATTACTGAAAATAGTTTCACAGTATCACTTCTTCAAAGAACATGTTATTTTACATGTAGCATTTCACTTTAAGTTACAACTTGTTCACATTAATTAGTGACTAACATAATTTCTATGAATTGAAGTACATGAACTTCCATTTCTTAATTTGATTTTAAAACATTATATACTGTGAACAGCTGATGAGGATCTACTAGGACGAAATCAGTTCATTTTAAATCCATAACTTACAAAATAATTAAAAATGCCCTTAATCTTCTAAACACTTTCATTGTGTAAACATAATTTATTCATTGAACAGGAAATAGAATATAGTAGTTAAAGCGTTCAAATTACAAGCCATCAAAAACACAAACTACTTCTTTTGAATATTGCTAGTAGTGTGCTGTGTGTTACTTATATTCACATAAGTAGTGTATAACACGGTGGTCAGTCATATAATGTATTTCAGTAGAAGATCGAAAAAAGAAAGAACGGAAACGGGACGCAATTGGTATGAATATGTATGAATCTGAGGCATGGAATTGATATTTGCAAAAGGAAAGGTCAAATTTAGGGCAATGAATTGATGTTTTGCAAATTAACGATTTACTATATGGTTATCAAATTTTATTGAAATGCTCTGTAATTTTGTGCTAAAATACATTCGATTGTTCCCATTCATGTTCTTGTTCACTACAGTAGCATTTAACCATTTTTAAAACTTTAAGCTATAGGGATAATTTACTTAGTTCTTATTCTTTTCTTCTAATATTTACTTGTTTATTTAAATGGAGTATAACGACAAGTATAAAGACTATCGTCGTCATCATCAGCATCATCATTATCATCTTACAAAAGAAAAACCAAAGAATAACAAAAATACATGAACAATTACTTCATAAAATATGTATACAGTTCATTTTTTCTATTGGATTTTACTACAGATTTATCATGTGACTGAATAATGAATATACATATAAACAATGTGGAAACTGTTTCAAGTACAGAAAAAGAGAGATAAAGAGATTGTACACTCTCATAAAGATTTTGTTTATGTACAATGATTTGCTTGTGTTGATTAAACGTCTACATCATTTATCGTTGATCTGAATGAAGAAATTTTAAAAGCAATATCAATACGAGTAACATATTAGAAGATAGAGTTATATAAATATATATGCGTACATTTCAAGTATTTAATCATAACTTGGCAAGACTATAATTGATTGACGAACCAATTAGATATAACATAACGAGTCTTGGATTTTGGCACGAAATTTATCCATAATTTCAACAAAATATCATTTTGACATTTATAGCTGATGACAGTTAGTGATGAAAAGCCGAAATCCAATTCTTAACTCTAACCATCAACAGTAAACTCTAATCCTAGTTCCTCACCATGGCTTATAACAATCATTTGGTCCTACTACGTAGATGGACATTCTCAAGGTCACTTTAACATCGTTTAAATGTTTTCCATAAATTATACGTTCAGCATGTGGGTGACCGAGGTATATTACTTGTCTAAACATAGCTTACTATGAATTGGGCTGGAAAAAGTTAAAGATGACCAAACAAGAAAACTTTAGTCCAAGAAGCTTACGATTCTTTAAAATGAGCTCAGTTGGTACGTGTAGACTACTTTATTAAGATCAATCAGATAGAAGTCATCCAAAGTAAGAAAAAGTAGATATAGAACGGATGGATAGATAAAAGTCACGTATATAAGTATATTTCTATCATACCTTTGATAGTTAAGCATTTGTCTTATACTTTCCTTGATACCCCTTTAAGAGAATAGGTGTACAACACAAACCAAAAAAAGTGAACTATGAAATACACGCAATACATTCTTTGACCGATAGATTCATACAAATGACTAGGAGTTGTCACTCAGTAATCAATTCATGAATGATAATAATAATTTTTGAACTAAACGAATTACTAAAAAAGAAATATTCATTAACACAACCCAAACGAGTACAATTATCATTAGCTCAATGTTACTATAATTCGAAATCTGAATACTCACACCGATTAAAAAATGGTTAAGCTTCGCAAATTGATCACTTTATACGATATACAACCTACCTGAAACAGTAATCCACGATCTTAATCGTTGACCAACACAGCTATGCACAGATGATGGTAGACATATTCGAACGTTTCAGTTACTGAATACGTACGAAATACAAGTCCTTAAAATTTGCAGACTTATTAGTTGGTATATCACTTGTTTACAAACTAGTGACACTAACACGGACCTTAAATTATATTGAGTATAATAGGATTTCAATAATCAATATATCTATAAAGTAGGATTATACTAGTACAACATATCTTATAATTCATATCAACGAATGATCTTAATAAGACAACCGCTGAAAACCATAAAGGACTGGACAGGTGTATTGGGTTAGTATGTAGCTTCTCAAGAATGCACATCCACAATCTCTCTGGGAAAATATAAGTAATTTTCTTACTCTAAAATTCAATGGAGAGTAGAGATATGGTCAGTAAATCTGCAACCTCATAGAAAACCGGTCTGGTATTTGAGAATAAATCCTTCACAGATACAAAACAACTGTATGTTGTATTTATAGCATGATACTATTAGTAAACTGGAAATAACCGTATAAAAAGGCCAATAGATGAAGTTGTATAATATCATAGTATACATAATGAATAAGAAGAGAATTTAATCACCTTGTCTAAGAAAGTGAAGTATTGACATTTTGAGTTGAATTAAATGATACATTATTTTGATCATTGTCTAACTCCATCGGTTCATCAAAAGTGTTAGTAGAAATTAAATGTTCATCAGTCACTTCAGAAATATAGTTTAAAATTGCCAGTTGTTCTTCCAATCTACATATACGTTGATAATGACGAGCTATGGTTTAAGAAATAAAAACACAAAGTTACGGCTCTAAATATTTGAAAAACAATAAAGTAGTATATAGGCATAAATGCAAAAATAAAGTTGAACAGTTTGTGGGTTACATGGTATTAATAACAAGACAGAATAAAGATCATAGTGTACGGCTATCGTATTCTTTATATATATAGTCTCTATATATTTCCAAATTGAAACTTATCTTACGATTTATACACTGTCACTAAAATAGCATGAGATAAAATCGTGTACAGATCCTCTGTTTAATGATTTACTATATAGTTATTGCAAAAAGAATATGGACTTTAGGTACCTGAACTAAACATACACTTATTACAAAATATCTTTAATAAGGATTGTGATCCATATTCGAAGACAGGAAATTATTAAACAAGGGTTAATATAGGATTATGTTAATAATCCATTGTATATTTTATCGTCAGAATACCAAACACCTTTGATATGAAATTGTATTGTGTAACATATTATTTAACGAAATGCATTGTGACTTTTTTACAGTGTGACTTCTGTTATTCAATAATGACGAATGTAAGTTTGTATATAAGCAAGTTCATTCTTTGGTATTTGGGTAGCTAAGGAATAAATCTTTTCTTGTTTCTGTTGCAGTGTTTACCTTCTTCATAGCGTCGAAAACCATTAAAATTTCAATTCCAATTTAATCACAGTTCTGGTGTCAATTTGTAGTTTAGTCATATTATAGTTTCGTTTGCAGTTATATTAAGTTCTATTTTCAAATCGCTAGTTTAATCAAAATAACCCATTGTGTCGTTAAATCGAAATAACGAGAATTCAGCAATGAAAAGTTTCATTTCAACAAAATCATTTACTTAAGCTGTACATTTGTATTTATAGTTGTATGTCACATATATGCCCATTTATTGTTATGTGTTTGAACACATAAATAATGGGACAAAGGGGCAACAAATACATATGCGCCACACAAGTCACTTGATTTATGTGTGGGCTGTGATACCGTTCGTGTGCCCAAACCGAAGCAGGTGGTTTTCTTAGAGGGTCTGCCTTAGATCGACTCATGCATCCAACTGTTAAAATCACTACAATCTCAACAAATCTCCATACTGAATAATAATCATAAAAAATTCTATAACGATAATAAGAACCGATTATAGTTTCGAATTACAAAACAATAATAAAAAAAAACAAGACCAAAACATACTACAAAAAAGGGAATTAGGGTCGAGGATGGATGAGAGGTTGGACGTATAGTTTTTGCGCGTGAGTTTCACTTTATGATGAGATTTTCTCTAACCCTCTATGGACATACATTTGGCATACAACTATAAATAAGAATGTACAGCTTAAATAAATGATTTTGTCGAAAAAGAAATTTCGTTCGCTGAATTACTTTTAGTTTAATAAATCAGAAGGGGTTTTGTGAAGATTGTAGTAATTTCAGTAGTTGAGATCGTGAGTCAATTGAAGCTAGGCCACCATGGAAAACCTAAAACCACTGGACGACCGTTTCGTCCTAGTATGTGATTCCTCAGCAGTGCGTATCCACGACGATGCCTCGAACCCAGGACCTACCAGTCTCATGCGCGAACGCTCAACCTCAACACCATTGAGCCGGCTGGCATCCAACGGTGTTAATGTCTAACTTTAGATAACCCACGAAATTCAGCGACACATCCACTATTGTCATCAGTGAGTTACTATCTCACAATGGATAGGTCCTGGATTCGAGCCCCACGAGGCGGGCTCGTGAATGCGCACTGCTGGGGAGTCCCGTAATAGAACGAAACGACCGCCCAGCGCTTCCAGGCTTCCCATAGTGGTCTAGCTTCAATTGACTCATGATCTCAACTAAGAATAAAATTTCAATTTTCTCAAAAAAGGTCTAACTGTGAGTGTAATTAATAAATTATGGACTTTTATTATGACTGATATATTTTCCATAGGTGAAAACTGACAAAAATATGAATCCGTAAAAGCTGCATAGAAAATGATAAAATCTTCACTATTCATTCTGCAAAGAAGTGTTCAAGAGCCTATATATAATTAACATCAGGAATACGTTTATTCTCCTCTTGGTATTACAATCAAAGACACTACAACCAATCACGTAACATACCATTACATAGTTAACTGTCAATATCTCAGGAATTGTTGTTTATCTGTATATGCTGTCTAACCAAACAATAAATGAAGCATCTTTTATGATATACAGTCAATCTACAATAGGTATAAAACAGAACTTACTTGTATACGGAAGGAGATATTGTATAGCTTGACTAAAATTTGGCCATTCAAGTAATTCTTCTGGTTTCCAACGGGTTAGAATCCAATTCAATACAAACTGACTTATCATTGATGTTCTAGTCCTTGTATTCCAGTTGATAGCATAAGATAAAAGTCGTTGACTTAGATTAAGTGAATCATTAAGATTTTCACTGTGACTTTTATTTGCAAAATCATCAAGTACTGACAATAAGTTCACAGCTTGTGTTGGATATTTGATACTTTGATTATCTTTGCAAGTCTGTTTGAATTGATCTTGAGTCAAAAGTTCTACAAACACATAGTAACAGAAACAGTTATCATATTTTGAATCACTAACCTAGTAGAAATTACTAAAAAACAAACGAAAGAACTTCGTACTACAATTATTACGATAATTCACAGTACTTCTGCCGATCTATTAATATTGATTAGAGAGAAAAATTGAGCTGAAGTGTTAAAAATCGGTTACTCTCTTTAGTTTATGAAATTAACGACGTGATTAACGTAATGCTATTTTCATCTGTTATAATATTTTACAAAGGATATTCATATATGTTTACTTTAAAACTGGAAATAGTTTGTGTACTTCGGTCTATTGCGTAGTCCGATCAGAGAGGATTACCGGTAGTTCAAACAGTAAATCCTGAACTTCAATCCTCATGATTTTTTGAAACACATGGTTCAGTTCCGTTCCTTCACACAAAATAAAACCGTGTCATTGTAACGAATCTTGGGCTATTAGCTATTGTTTTTGGTGGAGTTTTGTTCTCTGAACAATGAAAGCTCCACGACCAAACCATCCAGCTCAGAGAACAAAACTCCACCAAAATCATCCACCTGAGCTACAAATCTTCTCCACTATTAGCCATTGTCTCCAATGATTGGTTACACGTATTTTTCGAATCCTAGACAGGAAGTCAAAGCCATTCAACATGGCCTTTTAAGCGTCAAAAAACATCAAAAATTATATTTAATAGAATTGATCTAATTTAACAATATGTGGAGGCACACAAGTAGCAAATATTCGTATTATTTATTTTTATGTTTGAAGTAAAAAAAGAGTTTGAACTGTTAACTGAGTGATTTGATATTGTTCAAACAAACCATTCCACTAATCAATGAGTATTCAAATATTAACGAAAAGGTCAGTTAGTGAGTTAGACATAATCAATGTTGAGCCTGGTACTGTGGTGGACGCTACTCACAAGTATGCAGTATTTAGCGAAACGTGGGGTCAAAATTGCAACAGACGTCAGACGGAGAGAAGAGTTTCAGTAGAGCGAAAGCATGGCGTAGGCAGAGCACTTGGAGACTATTCATATTGCAGAACATATAGAAGATGCAAATGGATGATTGAAAGTTATGTATCTGTATTATATGAACGCTTTGAGATGCAGTCTATCTATTGCCTTCTTTTAAAGTACGACTGTGTGTTAACACAAGGTTGTTATGTTAAACCAACAAAACAAAAATATATTCACAATAGAATCTATTGCGAATTGATTTATGATTAATTGGGTGGAAAATAAACAGAAATCGCTTATCGAGTGATGCAAGAGAAAAATGTTCAGAAGGAAACTGTTCAATGAAAACTGTTTTCTATAAATATTCAAAAAAACATAATCTTACCCTGTAGTATGTCTAATGTTCGCTTGGGTTGGTCTAATTTGACAGCCAAATGAACAGCATCGGCATACATTTGTTTATGTACAAGATTATTCAATTCTTGTTGCCTATAAAAACAATATAAAGTAAAAATAAAATTTAAAAAATCGTAATAACTCAGTAGTTCAGTGGATAATCCGTCAATGTTTAAAGCAATATGTACTAAGTTCGAATCCCAGAGTGAAAATACACACTATGATGCAGATACGCTTAGCTCAGATTGAGTTATTATCAGCGAGATTTACCTTCTTAGACAAAAAGCGTGTAGAGTAATATCTGGAAATGATTCTCGGATCCTCAGACACAATACAAAACTAAACTTTGAACATTTCCAAATCCCACATTTTCTGATTAGAAAGAAACTATTTCAGAGATATGCTACGTAAAACGAGCATATCAGTCTTTGGGAAAAATAATCTAAAACTCAGCACTAACTAGACTTTACCCGATAAATTAATAAATGTTGAAACTACTACGAAACGCATGGTTGCTGATAGCAGGAACGGGTATATGTGTTGTTAGAATAATAGTACAAACTAAGTTAATTTGTTGAGCATAACATAGCAGGCTAGACAATATCTCATAGTCTTGTGGTAAATGTAATGAAAGCATCGGGCAGATACTGGGAAAATAAGTCAATTATTTACTTGGTCAACGTTACCATATACATTCAACTATAAATATGCATGAATTTATTCGGCTTTTGGTGATAAACACTCTGGCACTTGTCTTTGCTTTCATTCTCCGAATACTTGAGTCGATCAGGCGTTACCATCAAAAATGGGAACTAAATAAGACTGAATACCACACAAGAGTCGATAAGTGGAACTCATAGCAGTTTTTGAGCCCATACCGAGAACCGTACTTTGTGTTCTATAGAAATAAGAGTCGATAAGTAGAACTCATAGCAGTTTTTGAGCCCATACTGAGAACCGTAGTTTGTGTTCTAAAGAAATAATTCAGTGTTCCGAAAATGTTTGCCTTGGATAACATTCGGTTTTACAACAGTGGTTTATTATGCCTTCACTAACTGTCCAGAATGAACCTTTAAAGTGAGTCAAGAAATCATACAGCCAGATAATCATAACCACGCTACAAAAAACTGTGAAAACAAGGTCGCTCTTCGCATAGTAACACATAGTGATATAACTCATTTGTAAAGTAAGGATGTGTGTATTCAGCTTTGAGCCATACTTTATGCGTGAATGCTGATGTTACTACCCCCGAGTGCCGAAACAAAGTAGTTGGGGAGGATCCGAAACTCACAAACTGGTAGTTGAAAATTGAACAACTTTGCCACTAAAACCACGAAGTCATAAATAACAAAATTATTTGAACATTCAATGAAAGATCGAGTGATGTATGGGATAGTCAATATCCCCACTGATATCACACCAATGCATTAGTATACCTTCAAAAATGTTGAATGTGTAACAAATAATAATGATCAGTCCCGCTTTATATTTGTGAAATGTGATTTTAATTTAGGATATCCTATAACTAGCTTCCTTTCTAGTAAACCAGAGCGACCAGTCAAGGACAAAGGTAAGACAATCACTGAGATTCAAGAACAGAAGAACAGATGGGTAGAACATTTTGAGAAACTTTAATAGACAAGCACCACGCACAGACCTTCCTATAGATTTCACTCCACCAACCATAGAACAAATCAACATGAACATCAGACAAATCGAGAGTGGGAAAGCAGAAGGATTTGAGAATATACCAGCCGAAGCACTGAAGTCAGACATAGAAGTAATTGCAAGCATGCTCCACGTTCTATACAGAAAAGTGTGGGAGGAAGAACAAGGGCCGATAGACTGGGAAGAAGGATACCTCATCAAGATACCACAAAAACAAGATCTCAGCAAGTGTGAGAATTACACAGACATCGCAGTACTACCAGTTATCAACAGAGTGCTGCTGAACTGGATGAAAAGTCCAGTGGACACCCAACAGGCTGGATTCCGTAATAATCGGTTGTACACAGATCAAATCGCAACACTACAGATCATTGTTGAGCAATCAATTGAATATATCAACTTCCTTGACTATGAGAAAGCGTTTAACAGTGTGGATATGATAACCTTATGGAACCTTCTTCGACATTATGGTGTGCGTAAGAAGATCGTCAACATCATACGGAATTCATACGACAGATATTCAGAGGTCGCGTATGGAGGAAAGCTGAGAGATACATTTCAAGTGGAGACCGGTTCCAGGCTAGGCTGCTCACTCTCCCCCATTCTCTTTCATATGGTGGTTTATTGGATTATGAAGACCTCGGCATAGGAGGGAAACACGGAATACAATGGACAGCTTGAATGCAACTAAACGATTCGGACTTTGCACATGACCTAGCTCTTCTGTCTCGTACACATGAACAAACGTAGGTGAAGACGCCTAGTGTAGCAGCAGTCTCTACAGCAGTCAGACTCAAAATACACAGGGGGAAAAGCGTGGTCCCGAAACACAACACAGAAAATATCGACCCGACCACAATTGATGGAGAAACTCTAGGAGAGGTCGAAAATTTCACCTAGCTGAGCAGTAGCATCGATGAACAAAAAGAATCCGATACAGATGTAAAGGCGCGGACTGGCAAAGTAAGGGCAGTGATCCTACAGTTGAAGAACATATGGAACTCAAAATAACTGTCTCCAAGCCAACACCAAAGTCTGGATCTTCAATACAAACGTCAAGACAGTCCTATTGTACGGAGTTGAAACTTCCAGACCTACTACAACCATCATCGAAAAGTAAAAGTATTTAAAAACAATTGTCTTCACAAGATAATCAATGTCCGTTGGTCGGATACCATCAGCAACAGACTACTGTGAAAGAGAACAAACCAACTTCCAGATGAAGAAGAAATTAAGAAAAGATATTGGAACTGGATCATCATCAAACTGCATCACTAGGCACGTACTGACTGGGAATACTGAATGGAAGAAGGAAAGGAGACCAAGGAACATATTGCGTCGGGAATCGGAAGTAAACATCAAGAGGATTAATAGCAAGTGGAAACAGCTTGGAAGGGATAGAGAATACTGGTAGGTAAAATTTCTCAAAAATATATTTAAATATCTATAACACAGATAGACTTACGTTTGAATATATTCCTCTTGCTGTTGTGATGTTTCATTCAGCAGTATTTCTGTAATATCCTTTAAAAAAGTGAATACATTATTTTTAAATAATAAATCTTCATACGCAAAACAGACAAGAATAAACGTATTTACATGAGTAGCTTATTTAATAGCAAGTAAGTACGGATAAGTTCTATCTAACTCGAGATTCATAAGTGAAGAGGTAGCTTAGTGGGTAAAGTGTTCGAATTTCAGCCACTAATCCTCAGGTTCGAACTGTGCTTCTCCTACTTTGGTTTGGGTAACCGAGTAGTATAAAAAATATGAGAGAAAAAAAGACCACTCACCAAGTACTTGTGTATGAACCACACTCGAAGTGTAAAAGCTGATAATACTATCGTATACGACATTTCTTCAAAACCATTCGAAATACATGTGTGCTAGTAACCTTATAAATAGTAGCTATCAGTGAAATCTAAGAAGTATGTTTCGCCTTATTTGAGACTCGAACAACTTGTAACTAAATGACAATATAGAGACAATCCGCTACAGTGCATATATACCAATAGAGACTAATCAATTGCAGTCCTTAACATTAACAGCGAAAGAAAAAAACATTTACAAACTTATTATTGATGCTTTAGTTAGTCAAACCAATTCTTATCACAAGTAATTCACTATTCCTAATATACACAGTAGAAACAGAAAACATCAAAAAACTACTGTATTTTATTTCGGTTTGCTGTTGATCAGTCTGTCAATTATAAGCTATGTCGGATCTGTTACAAATGTACATCAGATAAAGTTATCGGATTTTATGTCAAGCACCTAGGAAAGTAAACTGAAAATGAGTAAATCAAAAGTCAAAATAATTATGATATTGGAGAAAACTAAACGAGAACTGAAGTAAAATACATCTCCATATTCTATTAGACATCTTCGAAATCAAACTTCCAGAAACCGTGAAGGTAGTCCCTGGGTTGACCAAGTATGATACCACTTCTTTATTGTCCAGAAGGTGGATGGATTGAAAACCCAAATCGGTCAATCAGTTACATTCTTATTCAATTAGCGCTAGCGGATAATTGAAAAATACTACAGAATGTTACTGCGTAAAATTATAAATATACTAATGTCCTTACTGTGATCCACCTCCATTAAACCTCGTTGATTTGGAATAAAATTATATACCCGTCCAAGTGGCGTTCTGGTTTTAGGGACTAGTTGAGTGAACTAGTGTCCGGCGAATACCAAGCAATGAGGATGTCTGGGTCGGATTACGAAACGGTTTACACCAAGGCTACTATCAATAAGTATACCTCCAAGTAGAGTACATAAAACCAGTAGTTCATAAGTAAATTAACATTTCCATCTTTTAATCTATAGAATATTGAATAATCTTCCGAAAGCTAATTCCTTAAATAAATTGTCAGCCTATATTTTCAACTCATTAATTTAGCTCCTTTATCACGTACAGTTTAGTGTAGTGAGCTTTCAGTCATATTTTATTTATGAAGGTTAATATAATACTACCCAACTTTCAGAACAGGATTAAGCGAAGGGAGATCCCTACCTTTAATCAAACAGATTGAGAATTGAACGTCTTAACCAATGAACCACTACTCCACTGAGGCATTAACAGAAAGAATAACACTTTTAGGTTTTCAATAGTGGTCTAACATTGATCAGTTCATGATCTCAATTAAAAGCTCAACAATCTCTACAATCCTATACCTTTTTTTTAAAAAAAAACGTCAAGTGATAAATGTTAATCACCTACTTCAAAATAACACAATGTTTCATCTTCACCACCAGTGAAAAAACCAGATTCATCTGGGCAAATAGCTAATGACCATATTCTTCCATCATGTGCTTCATAAACTAAAGACGAAGTTTCTTCAGAGGATGGTTTATCAACATTTTCTGATTTTTCTTCATTATTCTTAGGTGGTTTAGATATATTCCATAATCTTATTAATCCTTTCTGATCGCTTAAAAACATTATTTGGAAAAGAAAAATAAGAAATAAATATTAGGAGTGTCATTTGTGAAATTCGACAGATGCATGTTAGAAACATTAAGGTATAGAGAATTATTAGATAAACATGTTACTTATACTTGCGAAATCAAATCTTCATTTATCTACTCTTTAAACTCCCCATGGAAACCGTCTTTCATTTTTACCATGCAAGTAAAGATGCTACTTTAACACGACAAATGTCTATTCAAATTTCAAGGTTTTTGTACATAAATTTATACGTATTCATCAGTATAGGGCCCTGGTACGGCTGAGAGTGGGGAGAGTTCGCTCGCCCTCTCCAAATCCTATCACATGGCTACGTGTATATAGCCTCTGCCAGGGAAGTCTTACTCACTGCCTTCTCATGGCGGGGGTGTTGTTTATAAAATTGAGAGGACGAAAAGCGAATGTCCGGGGCTTTAACCGGGTTGGTGGACACGGAGAGTCCACCTGGGGAGATGGAAAACCCTGATTCCAAGCCAATGGTGTACAAGGGCTCCAGGATCCTGAAGGAACAAGTGGCGTATGAACCAATCGTTGGTCACCGACTACCACGGGGCTGCATCACCTTACGTTGCTACACTCCCTTGTGGGTCAGGCCTTCAGATCGAAGGCTCTAGGTGTGGCCCCTAAGAAAACCACATGCTTCGGTTTAGGCACCCGAGCAGTATCACAGCCCTCACACATATTAAATGAGATCTGTGTGGCGCATATGTATTTGGTGCCTCGTACCAATATCTGTGTTAAAATAAATAAATAAAAATAAATGGAGATTGTTGAGTTTTGATCAAGATTATAAATCACGTATTTGTTTAAACTAGCCTTCTCTGGTTTCTAGAATGAAATTATCTTTTAAAGTAGGAGAGTATCAGGAAGGTTAGTGTTGTTTCGTGTAATAATATATATAGAGTACAAATGAAATATATTCCAAAAAATGGGATTGCAATTAACCACTTAAAACTCAGTCGTTAAAATATGGTAGAGAAAATGTATGATATAAAAACATACGTTTATTTGTTTATATGAGATCAAATGAACACTTTTGACGTATTTATTTGAACACGAAATTTGGTACAATGGGGTATCGAATAACAATGAGGCTATTGGCTTGTGTGACGGCTGGAATACTGTCCGAGTGCCCAAATCGAAGCAGGTGGTTTTATTAGAAGGCCATATTCAGAGCCTTCGACCTAAAGGTCTAATCCATAAGGTAGTGGAGCATCGTAAGGAGATTCAGTCCCATGGTAGCCAGTTACCAACAATAGGTTCATATGCCTTTTGTTCCCTCAGGATATTGGAGCCCATGTGTACCATAGGTTTAGAATCAGGGTTTTCCAGCTCCCTAGCTGGATCCTTCGTACTCACCAACCCCGTTAAAGTACAGGACATTCGATTTTCGTCCTCTCAATTTCGTAATCAACACCCCCACCGTGAGGAGGCAGTGAGTAGGACTTCCCTGGCAGTGGCTGTATATGTGTGGCCATGTGAGAGCATTTTGAGATGAAGAGCGGACACTTACGGCTAGTCTATCTATCTATCCAATCGTGTGAACATGACATGAGATTTCCTTAGGTTACAAAGTGTATTAGCTAAAATTAACGAACCGATTCCTAGTCTTCATTACTTACTTTCTCATTTTACAACTTCTATAATATGCATAAAGAATGTGGACAACAATATTATTTTCTTCAACTTGTCCACCATTAACTTACCATGATAATATTTGTTTATCGTGAGAAAGAAAAACTGCCTTATACACTGGTTGATCATGGCCTTCCAATGTCTGAAATTAATGAAATTAACATATCAATGAAGAAACCATTTTAATCACGAACTGATAACAGTGGAAAAACTATTGAAAACAACAAGTTATTGAACAAATATCCAATTCTAGCGTGAAATTAATCAGTATTTCACATACATGACTCTATCAGGAATAGAATCCAGGAAATTTAAGACTCACATGTAGCACATCAACTTTAGAATGTTAAGTAAAAATCCAATAGTCTACATTTCCAATCTAAGTTTATTCGTGGAACGGCACGTCTGTCATTAACGAAGACAATATGTTTGATGAACACCTCTCATCACAACTTCTAGTTCTAAAACTTCAGTAATCTATCTTCTAGTTATATACTAATAGACCAATCTCCATAATTCACCCGAATAAAAAATGGATAATTATGCGTTAGCAACTTCATTGTTTTCACAAATAGTTGCCAAAATTAACAATTGGTGAAAATATAGTTAGTTATTCAATGGAATATATAGATAAAGTAAGATATAAATCATGCATTAACTGGAAGAGTAAATCACTATATTTTGTATAAAATCTAAAGATAACGACTTAAAAGACTGTCAATAATGTGGTGCTATCAATCCAATCACAATTGACGGAGAAAATTTGGAAGATGTAAAAACCTTTACATATTTGGGCAGCATCATTGATGAACATAATGGATCTGATGCGAATGTGAAGGCAATGATCGGAAAAGCAAGAGCAGAATATTTAGAATTGAAGAAAATCTGCAACTCAAAACAACTGTCTGTCAACCAACACCAAGGTCAGGATTTTCAATACAAATATCAACACAGTCATACTGCATGGGGTGGAAACCTGTAGAACTACGAAAGCCATCATCCACAAGATACAGGTGTTTATTAACAGTTGTCTACGCAAAATACTTCGGATCCATTGGCCGGACACTATTAGCAACAACCTACTATGGAAGAGAGCAAACCAGATTCCAGTGGAGGAAGAAATCAGGAAGAAGTGCTGGAAGTGGATAGGACACACATTGAGGAAAGCACCGAACTGAGTCACAAGGAAAGCCCTCACACAGAATCCTCAAGGCCAAAGGAGAAGAGGAACATCAAAGAACACATTATGCCGACAAATGGAGACAGACATGAGAAGAATGAACAAAAATTGGATAGAATTGGAAAGGAATGCGCAGGACAGTGTGTTGGAGAATGCTGGTCGGCGGCCTATGCTTCATTAGGAGTAACAGGTGTATGTAAGTAACAATGTTGTGCTATATAGATTTTTTAGATCAACACACAAAGGCTAATAAGAGACTTTGTAAATAAATGAAGTTATCAAAGTAATCAACCATTTCGACCAACATATTCATGCAATGAAGTGATGTAGATGTCTTGAAGTAATATTTTGTATTCGAAGGACGAAAATTGTAGTCTAATCGTTTGTGTACTGTATCTCGATACATTTGAATGATTGACATTTAGTGAAAGAGTAAACGATAATAGTGGGAAAATCTACAAAGGCAGTTAGGAAAATTTCCGCAACATACTAAACGTAGGTTTCATGAGACAAATTTCTCTTGACAGCAAAACTGAGTGGATTTGACGACTATAAATCGATTTGCTGTGCAATGTCTGTTAGAAAAACATTCAGATTCATCAGTTGCTTATCGAACAATCAGATATAAATTCTAGTAATTAAAACCAGTACATGATTGTGAGTAATTCAAAGTACAATCAATGAACAAATTGTATGGTTGTGAGACCAGAAGATGCAATTATGCTGTATGTTGGGAAACAACTTGTTGTAACTTGACAAAATAATGATATGACCACTTTTATAACTGAGGACACAACTGGTTACTTACTGCTATACAACGAAACGAAGACTGATGCTACTTACTGAATGAGAAGGTAAAACTGTGGATGAAGATTTTATTAAACACCAACTTCAAATACACAACTGATAAACATTGTACCAACAATTACAATGGGTCATATATGATTTCGTTATCTGATCAATAATTCAGTTTTAATACATTGAATGGGGGATTACTTGACATGAACTAACTAATGATTTAATACATGTTTACATTTGACAACAACAGCAACAACAGATATAACTGGATTCACTAACAAGATAATAAATTACTGAATTGAATATCTGCTTCACCTGACGCTACTCATGAGTAACATAATGAATTAAATTAAAATATATAAAAGAGCCATTTAAAAAGGAAGCAGCCAACTTACACGGATACATGAGAAATCTTTCAAATTCCACAATCTCACATCTCCATCACCCGAAGCAGTAAGTACAATCTTTAAAAATGATATCAAAAAAATATTGTACAATATTTCGTTTTACCAAAGACGAATATAAATTAAAAGGAAAATAATTCATAACACATAATGAAACTATCAGTATAGGGACGTGCAGATCAATAAGTTTTTGATTAAGGTCATGAATTCATCGATGTCATGTCACCGTTGAAAACCTGGAAGCACTGGATGGCCATTTCATCCTATTGTGGGACTCCTTAGCAGTGCGCATCCACGATCTATATGGTTACAACATTGGACCAGTTATTTTGTGCTCTTGTGTACTAAGATTTGATTTTTTGCGCTCACCACCATGAATGTGAGCTTGACATTGATTATTATCTTCAGTATGAGGATTTGAGAAGATCAGTAGAATACTAATCTTAGTTAAGCCACCAGTGAATACTAGGAAACACTGGACAGTTGTTTTTTCTTAGTGTAGTACTCCACGCCAGTGGACTTTCACAACCCCATCAAGAGATCGGATCCAGGATATTCGGTCTCACACGCGGACACTTAGCCATAGACTATTGACCCGAAATTCAATAGTGTACATATCTGACTTCAATCAATTTATGATATTGCGCGACCACATTTAATTAAGTACTGTGGATAACTGTCCCACACTCGACATGCCTGAGCTCTACTAGTCACAGCTTCTCACTCGACCTTCGGGAATTGCATATTAAAGCTATCCATAGGTGAGCACATGATCATTATTAATATAGGGATTGAAAGTGAATTAAAATATTATTGATTGGTTGATATCATATCTATTCCATTAGTTAACACATTAGTATCAATCAAGTTTTATATGTAGAAGGTGCCCAGGTGTCACATCTAAATTTTTACTAGCATACAATCTGAAACGAGACATTCAAGTGGTTGGCTTAAACTCAACTACAAACCACGTTTACTTCTTTCTCAAGAAATGATTCTTACTTATGTAGTTCAAAACAAAGCAGTGGTACATAGTTTAATTGTTAAATATTTAAATAACATAAAAATCGTCAATACGTAACCCATTTTCTTTAACAGATCTATAGAACCAGGATAAAAAAGGTGAATAGATCTTACTTTCTCAAATCTTGAAAAGCAAACAGACCAAACACCTCTACGGTGACCCTGAAGAACTCCTTGACAATGTAAACTTTGTTTTTTAAATTCCCATATCTAAAATTTCATGAAATAAAAAAAAACTAGTGAAATCACTGGACAAATTAATTAGTTAAAAGATACAAAATACTACATCAAGAATAGGAGCGTGTAAAACTATTTCATTAACAACTGGACGAAGATTCAGTCAACTGACCATTGTGTAAAGGAAAATACAATGAATTGTTAGTTACCTTGACAGTTTTATCACGTGACGCGGTAGCAACAAGACGATTATCAACGGAAACATCAATTGAATTGATTACTCCGCCATGGGCTCCATGAATTGTGTTTAATTCTGATAACACAGCATCTGGTTTATCTAAGTTATTACACTGAACATTCCAAACTTTTAAAATACCGTCTTCTGAACTAGATATAAGATGTGTTGTCAATCTGTATAAATAAGCATAGAGTATATAAATATGCATATTTTCTTACAAATAAGTTAAGCAAAAACTTTTTCATGATGAAAAACTACTTGGACACGAATGAGATGATGCTATATCAATGTATTTTCTTTTTTCCCAGCAACTTTTGTCAAGTCTTTAGATTTCCTTAATCTTTACAACTTTTGAAAACCTTGGAAACTAATGAAAATTAATAAAATTCATGTGAAGTTTGTATTTTAATCGCTTAAATTGTTCTTTATACTTAAGGTTCCGGGGATAATTTACAATACCTTGATGTGAATAAAAATGGTGTAACTTGTATGGAACCGATACGATGTCCAAAAGTTAGGTCTAACAGTGAGGTATTAGTTAATTAGAGAATGAATGATCTGCAAACTAATTTCCGCTTATTTCCTGTAGCATTTATTCATGTTTATTTTTCTGTTGATATTTTGAAAATATATGCAGGTCACATAAAAAAGCCTATTCTTCTGGCTTATGGTCTTGTCATTGATTTCAGATCACTTGGCGACTGACGTCATGTGAACACATATCAGACACCTACTTCATATTCTTGCATATCATCTATTGATAAGTATTTCTTTTTTACATTTTAATAATCGAAAATTCACTTCATAAAATCACAGATGCCTATAACATAGAAGTAATAACTTTTACCTACGTTGAAGATGAAGAGGCATATAGACGTTGTCAAAGCCCAACCGTTTATAATCATTTCGTATTAGCGAAAAATAAATGAAAGGACATCAGGGAATTAACCTGTGTTACCGTCATAACATTTCAAAAATGGAATATCGAGGTATCATTGATGCTTAAACCTTCAAAGGTGTGACACTGGATATACTACAGTTAAACTGACTTCCTCTAGACACCCCTATTATCAGTTTACCATGATTGATAAGGAATACGAAGATAGGACAAACATTAGTGAGCTTAGTGATCAGATAGAAAGTTAGTAACATTGCGAAAAAATTTGTGATGTATGCATGAGAAGTAGAGATAAGTAGACAATGTGTTTTGCTATCCATGATGGGTAATTACATTCACTACAAGAAGACTATTCTGATCAGACGAGAGAAGAAAAAGTGAAACCATGTTTTTTTCTCTTAATTCGGTGTGACTGTTGCTGAATATTGTTTCCTTTTTTTTAAGTCATTGTGATAACTGCTTAGAATAATATTCGTTTTATTTTTAGGGTAATACTTTGCTCAACATAAGGTCGCTTTCACTTTCAATGTGATTTTTATCCCGTATGACATTATTTGCATTAAACTAACGTGAACTACGTATAGCTTGACAAGAGACAAGTGGTGTTTTTTATAACTCTAGTTGTTTTATATACCTGTGACGCTTTCTAATTAATAATCCAGTATATAAATTAAGACACAAATGAGTGTATTTTTGATTGGGATCGTTGTGTTTTCAAGTGAGTAAATATTCACTTGTACCAGTGTTTTGTGTAGTACGCCCCCAAATGCCCTGGTACGGCCGAGAGTGTGGAGTGTCCGCACTCAGTCTCCGAATGCTCTCGCATACCCACGCGTATATAGCCTTTGCCATGGAAGTCTTACTGCCTTCTCGCGGATTTACTGTTGTTTACGAAATTGAGAGGAAGAAAAGCGGATATCCGGCGCTTTAACCGGGTTGGTGGACATGGAGAGTCCACCTAGGGGAGTCATATGTATTCGGTGCTCCTTTGTATCAATGTTTATGTGTTAAAATAAATTAAAAGAACTGTAATGGTTTCTCGTCGTCTTTAAAAATAAGTAATAGGATGTGACGAGGGTATGACAATACATATCCGCTTATATTTTTTTTCCAAAAGACAAATTTTACTGACCATAGTAAAGATATCATTCAGACCAGTGCATGATATAGTAGTTATGTTAGACTAAGTCCTACTCACTGCCTTCTCGTGGCGGGGGTGTTGTTTACGGAAATGAGAGGACGAAAAGCGAATGTCCAGCGCTTTAACCGGATTCCAAATCAATGGTGCACATGGGCTCCAGTATCCTGCGGAAACAAATGGCATGTGAACCAATTGTTGGTCACCGGCTTCCATGGGACTGCATCTCCTTACGATGCTCCACTGCCTTGTGGATCAGACCCTCAGGTCGAAGGCTCCGGGTGTGGCCTCCTAAAAAACCACCTGCTTCGGTTTGGGCACCCGGGCAGTATCACAGCCCTCACACATATCGAATGAGATTTGCATATCTGTTTGGTGCCTCTTTGTACAAATATCTATGTGTTGAAATAAATAAATAAATAAAGGGATTCCGTTTAGATGATGTGTTTTCATAACACTTAGATACTTGAAATACTCGGGAACTGTGATGCCATTTTGGGAAATCAACAAACATACTGGAAGTCTAAAGTACAGCTATTTGGTTGTATTTCAGATATTCTATACAGTTTAACCATTATCATTTGCTATCCACATCATTATCATTTACAAATTCTATACCAGGACGATTTTTTATACAGAAAAAATTAAAAGTATTATTGTGTCCAAAATACATTCAAATCATAAGTTTTCATTGACGGAAAAATAGTTCAATCAGTTTAAACAGGGGACTGATTAAATTTGTTGATAGATTTGACCTACCTATCAAAGCAAACAGAACTGATATGAGCAGCATGTGCCTTATGAATTTGAGTAATAAGATCCAATTTGACAGGAACATTCTTAGATTTATGTAGTGATGACGATGTTGAATCTTCTGATTCTATTAAATGCCATAAACAAATAGATTGGTCTTTAGAACCACTTGCAATCCATTGACCACATATGGATACAGTCAAATCCATAATCACATCAGTATGACCACCGGGAATAAGATGGCATTTCCATGAACCATTTGTTTTACTATTAAGATTATCTTCAGTTGTATTTTTTCCCTTTAAACTGAGTTCATATGGATTGAGGAAAATTTTCATGTGAGGTGACGCATCAGCTAGAATAAGATAATTGTGATTTTTGCCTACAATGCATAATTGATCAACTTGTCCAATGTCACCTAAGAACTGTTAAAATGAAATTTAAATTCTACTTTAAGAAATTGAATATTCTGGTTTCTTATTTGTATCGATAGGAATTTGTAAGGTCTATTAGAAACTCATTTTGAAATCAATCAGTCAGGAATAGTTAAAGTAGAATCTGACACACAAGTAGCTTAACCCAAATTGCTAATATCAAATTATTACGAGATAGCGAAAGAATTAGAATAAGAGTACGGTGTATGCCATATATGTATGTCGATATAAGTAGTATGTAACATAAATCAGAAGTGGAAAACCTGGCAGCAGAAGGCTAAGAAGATCGAGTTGAAGAGAATAAAAGGTAAAATAGAGAGGAATTGTGAAGAATCATACAGAATTTGAAGGTAAAATGATGAAAATCTGCAAATGAAGTGTTTAGTGTATGGTTCTTATATTTTACCAAGATAATTTGTAATTCTGTATTAAAATAAATTTGGCTGTCCCCACGCTAATAAAAACATGTTATTTTTAGGAGAGAACAAACCAACTTCCAGACGAAGAGGAAATTAGGAAAAGATGTTGGAAGTGGATAGAACATACATCACGGGAATTATTAAACTGCATCACAAGGCAAGCCCTAACTTAGATTCCTGAAGTGAAATGGAAAAGGGAGAGACCAAAAAACTCATTACATCGGGAATAGGAAACAGAAATAAAAAGGATGAATAGTAACTTGAAAAAACTGGGAAGGATTGTCCAGGACAGAGTTCGATGGAGAATGCTAGTAGACGACCTATGCTCCTCCATGATGGGTAACAGGCGAAAGTAAGTAAGTACATATGTTTGTAAGGATTTTAGAAAACGAATGACGACTCTATTCAGGGCAAAAAGAGGTAGTATAACGTTTCAGGTTTTCAATTTCACGTATTCTAATCTGCCATCTTACTCGAACGAAACAATAAACCTGTTATGAATTGAGATTTGACTATCTAAATCAGTGAGAAGAGTGACAATCATGTTACTTATCCCAATTTGTGAATAGTGATGGGTGTGTGTAAGTTTTCTTTAGGAAATAGATAATATACAGAGCACTGATCTCGATGACAATATGACTTCAAGTAAACTTAAACCAAAAGTTTTAGAACAAACCAAAAACTCTTGAAATAACGGTAGCTTTTACAGTACTAGTATATATGTAGTCTGCTGATTTGCAATAATTTTTTGATATAGAGAATATTTGTAGTTTATGATGGGGATTTCGTGCGCGTTGCATTTTCTAAGTTGGATGGGTTATTCATAAACCTTTCATTGTCTGTCTAGACTACGGGATCTGATTGGTTAGTGTTTACAGTTGTGTGAAATGTATGAGTGAAAGTGGAGACATTAGCTTGTTTATTTGGTCAAGAGAGATAGATTATAATGTATGAAGGCAGTGATAATACCCAATGGTTTAAAATGAATTGGATGAAACGTGGTTCAAAGATACAGCTCTAACACTAAAACAAACAATCCACTTTAAGAGGCAAAAACAAATCACCACATACATTCAACCGATCATGAGTTATATTAATGCGTATAATACTAATAATACAAGATATGTTGCACTATTTTTACACTTGGTGTACGGAAGCATTACGAATAACAAACTTATATTTTCAAAAAATTATGAGATGAACAAATTAAGAATAAAACTACTATACCTCAGCCGTTAATTTGCCGACCATTGGGTTATAAAATTCAACATGATTACTTTGACGCACAAGAATTAATCGTAAGGATGAGTTTTCACTTTCATCCAACACATTATCATTACTGTCTTTTATATTGTATACATTCAAATGACTGATGGAATGAAGTCCATAGTCAATTGAGTGGCGATCTAACGCAGCGGAACTACCAGAATCAGACTGAGGAGTCCGATCTAAGGGACCCTTGATCTCTAACACACAACGCCCAGTATCTACATCCCAGCAACGCAAACAGCCCCACTGACCGCCAGTCAACAATAAAGATGTATTGCTTTCAGAAAACGTGTGACCCAAGTGATTTGTTAATGCGCCAACAGGAAGGAAAGTGCACGCTTCTAAACTCTATAAAAATGAGAAATATGAAAATTGTAATTAGGAATTTTGTAAGTTATTTATCATCTAACAAAATCAAGTTAATCCAATCAAACAGAAGATAAAGTTTACTGGATAAAAGTTAAACAGAAATATACTTTTTTGTTGATAAAATTGATCATTACAGATAGGTATAAATTCTGTAGTTTAGTTCAAGAAAAAAATAAATAGATGTACTGAATTTGGACCTGGTACAAAGTGTATAATTTCAGGTTGCTAAACTTCAATACAGCGCAGCAGTAAGCCAAGATAAGTGGGGAAGGGAGTAAGTAAAAAACAAATTGATACGAAAAATAAGGTGACATAACTTTTCAGACTTTAGAATGAAAAAACAAAGCAGTTCCTTCATTGTGTATGATTTCATGCCGTATTTCTCTAGGTCTCCAACCATCGACTTTAACTAACTTGTGGACCTCATCCAAGAAAACTACGTTCTATTAATATCACTGATAAGGTTATATTAATTGGGTATAGATAATCTATTTAAAGACTTCTCAACAAAATATCGACCTTCGAAACATTAAAAGAGAAGATTGCTATGGTGTGCATCACGATTAAAAACGCTATTTAAAGAAACAACATAAATATTAGCTAAATCTATCGCGTCTGCACTGCATTAATATTTAGGATTATAAAAATACCTTGGAAAATTCAGATTAGCTTTGTCATAATGTTATCATCTTGCATACTTTCAGTGAATAACTACAACACATTTGCTACTAAGATTCCTTACGGTTTAAAACCTGCAAAGTTGATTTTACCACACAGTAATACTAAATAATATTTATCCCTATCAAAGTTAGCCGTACGCTCATAACGATACACTAAACTGTCGCACGAGTACATTTTTACATATGTAAAACAAGCACAAACTTATTCAAGCTGGTTAGAAACACTGACCATGGTAAACGTTTGCCAACATTTCGGTTCTCCATACCGAAAGTGTGCATTATATTTATCGCATGAATTATGGATTAGTCAAACTACATATATACCACAGCAGAGAATATTATTAATGGGTATTTGACGAAATTGTTGATTAATTTCTGAGTTCCTTCAGCCTGGTACATATATACATAAAAGGGAACACTATGTCAACTGTTTTACAACTTGAACTGTTGTTAAGCACAGTAACAGATATACACAATTACAAACAGATAATTTTTATTATTTTAATTAGATACCGGTCAAAAACATAGAATTGTGATTGCCCCCAACTGATGCGACTGGGTAGATTTGAACCCGTGTTACCAGCTTTACAGTCACAGTCGTTAGTCCTGAGCTCTCCGGGCCGAGACTGACCGCCTGTAGGACTAAGATGTATTTACAACTGATTGGTCGCTGGGTAGCGACTAAAATCATTTGTCGGAAGCACTCAGTGTTGAGTCACCTAGACTAATGACTGTACCAAAGACCTGAGATACATGACACTGATCGTTACCCAGTGATCAATCAATTGTAGGCCATCAATTTACTAAAGATCACAGGTACGCCTAGCCAACTGGTGCCAACCAGTCAGTCAGTAACAACGTAGAATTTGGTACGTACGTACATCAGTTCGAGTTGCCATACCACATTAGCACAGAGATACAATTGTCGATTCAAATCCTATAGTGGTAGAGGTAATCAAAGTATAAGCAGTAATCGAAAAGATTAGGGTTTGAAGATGTTATTTAAGGAGTACAATACAGTGAAATAAATTTGGAAAGAGAAAAAAGGGACATGAAGAATTCACAAGATTATAATTGAGAAGAACACAAAGAGTGGATGCACCTGCGCGATTGCAAACGATTTTGATCCATGTCATTCAGGGTCTCTAACCATCGGTTGCTATCACCTCGCGGTCCCCAACCAGGTAGTCTACACCTACCAACATGGCGCAGTTCACTTGTCAGTGACTTCATGGATTTGTGCCATGTTTTGGTCTGGCCGCCCCTAGCTATATTCCAACCTACTCCCACACCACTGAACATCGCACGTGCCAAACAACCTCCAACCACCTAATATTAAAGCACAGTGGACAGGATTTTGAATCACTGAGACTGGTGGTTACGTCATAACTTGATTGATCGAGTTTGATAAGCACTAGAACTAGACAAACATAAATTTGTTAGAACCCAGTGATCAACTAATGCACGTTTAAATATTCCTTTTCATGACTTACCTCAAAGGTAGGTATGACTTTTTGTTTTGTGAAGTCTACGAACGACCAGACAATAAGAACTTTATCGCGCCCACATCTGAAAACACATGATAGAGATAAATTTTGTTTCTTACGTAACCAATTCATTCTTTCCAGCATTGAAGTCCAAACTTGTAACAATGCTTTGATGGCCTTCAAGAGAAGAGACATGTTTTCCTGTCTCAGTGTCCCATACAGCTACAAAGTGATCACCCACTGACGATGAGAAAAGGTACGGTAATGTCGGATGGAATTTCAATAGTCTGTAATGGGAGCGAAATTCAGGAAATGTTTAATAAAATACTTCATAATAATAGAAAAGAATTCATGGATCAAGAATAAAATAATAAACGTGGATATTTTCTTTGATGAAACTGATCTGAAAATAGGGATCAAGAAATTAAAATTTTCACCAGTGTAGGATATTATCTACTAAGTACGTTTTCATATTGTGGAAAATATTTGTCAGATACAAAATTGATATTATTCCTGGTGTTCAGATAAAAGCAGATAGTTTTCTCTGGAAGTCGATCCCGAACCTTTGAACTAGAGCTTTAACCCACAAGGCAGTGGAGTAACGTCACAAAATACAGTCCCATGGTAGCTGCTGCCCAACAATAGGTTCATACGTCATTTGACCCTTCAGGATTCTGGAACCCATATGTACCATCGGTTTAGAATCAGGCTGTATACGCATGACCATTTGAGAGCATTTCCAGAAGGAAAGCAGACTCTCACCACCCTCGGCCGTACCATGACATTTGAGGGATACTATACTTCACACGGCACATTGAAAGAAAACTAACCAAATGGAATCTCAATATACAAATAGAAACATCTTATCAGTGTATTAAGTAAACAAATCAAAGGCCACCTAACCAAACAGTGTTATTTAAAGGTGGGATTTCACAATTGCAAAGCATAACAATGGATGGAGAGAATGAATAGATGTAAACTACGTGACCATATGGCATGAGAAACATTTATTTGAAATTGTCAGTGATTTTACGCCTAACATAGTATCACTAAGTGATGTTCTGTTATTTTATTTGGCTAAATTGGAAAATTCAAGCCAACCAGTATAAAAATGATCAAATCCACATTTTTGAGTACATCAATGTAATAGTTCTTCAAAATACGAGTTTATAAATATCTACTTCATTCTTACTTCAGTACAAGAATTCATCAAGAGTACTGACACTTACTAGCTATGTCAAGTCCAAGAACATTAGAATTGCACTATGATAATCTTTTGAGTTCGAACTTTCAGTGCTGGCCATCCGAAAGATCAAAACACATCAGACGATACGATTTAATGGTGCAGCGCACAACTCCGTAACATACTGTACCCAATGCCTATATAGCAAATAGTTACGATGCAAAAAAATGAGACATTTAGATATACCATTAGCCACCACTTTCGAAAATATCAGGTACTTGGGATTTGTCAAGAATGTCATAACAGTTACCGCGTATGATAGGAATACTGGACTCTAAAAAGTCTGAGATGAAAAAGAATGTAAGAACTGTTCGATTAGTTTAGACCAAATAGGATGTCAGATTACCTGTAAAAGTCCTTTGCTAACATGAAAATATTTAAACTAGAAATACATGTTTATTTGAATCGTCTCTTTAGTAGGCTAAGGACCATCAGATAGTCCAGCTGAGCCGCTACTGTGGACGTACATAGTTGGAAATTTTTTAGCTTTAATTTCTGTGTACCAATACAGTAGTTTGAATTGTATAAAATTAAAACAGTTCACATACGTTATCATTCCCTGGTGCAGTCGACAGCTTTTTGAGAAGCCTTCCTTTGGACCAATATGCCATAATCTAACAACCATATCTCCTGAACCGGTAGCTAATCGTGTTGAAGTTTTGTTAAGCGCCATTTTCTGCACGATTCTTTGGTGACAAGACTAGGCAGCAAATCTGAGTTCCAAATAAACTACTTACCATCCATACTTTTGTAGGCCTTAGAGAAAGGCTATCAAGACGTTTTAAAAGCAAGTTCTTAGTAGCAATAAATATCTCCTACAAAATAAAAAACTAAACATGTGTTTACCGATCCGGCTTCATCGACAACGAAAGATGTGATAACCTCATCATCCTGAAATCAAGGCAAAAACGTCAAACACTTTACCCGAATTCTGTCGACCAAAGTGAACGAATCTTCATCGAGTACATTTACACACAGAGAGTCGTCAACATCTCTTCCACAATAAATTTTACCTGACTTAGTGTGCTGCGTATTTCAATAATTATGCAATGCAATTCACTCACGAAGATTGGATATTGAGAGTTAAAGCAAGGCTGAAATTTATCAGCTAGTTTGAACCTTCATAAAGACTTATTTAAAAAGTTTGAAGCCTACTTTAGTTTAGTAGCCATGTGACTAAAGTCAATATGAGCGCCGGTGTTGAGGTGAAGTCAAGGTCTCTAGGACTAAGAATAATGTTCTATTATTCATGATTAACAACTTTTTGATTATCTTAGAGACTGTTCGACTCTTTTGCGTCAGATCAATTCTGTCTACCGGAACTTATGATAATCCCAATACTGCACTTCTACTGATCAAAAATTTCAAGTTTCGGACAAATTCAAATGGTGTTTAGAAGCAATAGATCACCTATTCCTTCACGTAAAGACCTAGGTACATGAAATAAGTAAAATTAATAAAGGCACTAGCACACTGGTATAAAATAGTATTCCGAGTTCTTGGTGATGTATTAAGTCTCCTCTTGAAGGATATAAATGGTGTTGTTTAGACCACTTTGGCCTGTGGTGGAGTCCAAGTATTTAATGCGCTCAGCTAGTAGGCGTACCTACACTCAATGTCAAAATGTCCTGTCTCAATTTTTTCAAGCAGAATTTAAAAGGTTTGTATCGGAATGAACTTCGGTAAGTCTTTTAAATGATAACTAGGAGTGTTTAGGACACTGTAATTCTTTAGCAGCAGCCTCTGTCGCAGTAGACATCATGATGTACTAGAGGAAAGGCGAGATGTTGAAACGCAATACAGCGACCACCAACTCAGTCACACGTGATGGAGAGGCTGATGACGAGGTGTAAGCTTCCACATGTCGGGCAGCATCATCGGTGAACAAGGAGGATCTGATACAGATGTGGGAGCACGAACTGACAGAGTATGTGTTCATATTTCCGGGATAACTTGAAACTGAGAGGCACAATAGCTTTAGACAGTGCAATATCTCAGCATTTAATTGATACCGAGCATACTACTGACATCTCACAAGCCTTCAAAATTATTGACAGATAAAAGACTCAGCTCCTCTCTGGTTTATCGAAACAATAGCAATAAAAATGCTGATGATTTATGTATCCAGAAAGCTGTAATAATAAACTTATCTCCATCTTGGAAAATTAATTTTGTCATTATCACTTGTCACATGGACTTGCTTTACATAAAAATTACTGCTAGAATAACACAAATGATATTAAAGTAAAAATCGAAAAACTCTCTAAGCTGAATGACCACAACTGAGTTTACATCAACAAATGGTGGGATTTTTTTAAATACACTCTGCTTCAGTCCATCGATTAACGTACTTAACTTTAGTGATTACGGAACAAACACTTCATATTTTCTCCGTTGATAATTATCCTGACAGCAATCTCATCAGCACCAAACTAATTGCTTGGAGCAGATGATTTGTAGCAGAGAATAAATCCCAAAGATCCATAGCTCTGTAAGTAATCGACATTCATTGCTGACCGCATTAGCTCCACTGAACTCACCCAGATGAAGGCGTTCGGTCACGAATCCGCACCATATCACGAGTGTTTACACCGTGCTACACATCCCTTTCGACTACTGGCCAGTTTAGATCAAACATCCCTTCGACATACCGATAGCCTTCTAATTATATCTCCGAACTCCTTCATCTCTGACTTCTGACTTGACTGGTTTGGCATAATTCGATTATAAATATGTTACTGGTTAGGCGCTATCAAACTCAGAATACTTGTGGCAGCTTTAGATTACTCCACGACGATACGGGAGAACGATTATCTCGCAAGGCATTACGCAGTGAATATGAGTTAAAAATCAAATAAGGTGGATCAATCTATCAAGCTAATTTGATCTAGTCTTCGGGTTTTTATAGCTGTGTGAAAGGAAGGGGATAACATGAACTGAATATACTACACCGAAGTACCTCAATAGTATACAGGTTCTTCACCCCGGTTGCTAGGCTTAATTTATAATGTAATAACTCCTGATCTGGTATATGTCAACCAGCCGACAGCAAGCTAAGTGTTTTCCAAAGTCACCTGTGCATTGAGGGTTTTGAAGCCAAACGAATCTTGATGCTCCAGAACCCATATATATTTAGCGGTACAGAAAGAACCTAACAGTGTACTAAAAAGATGCACAAATCTACGTTGATTTTCTCTTGATATACTCTTCAAGTATTCGCTTGCTAAAAATTGACTATCGTTTAACTATAAAAATTATGCAGCCATACTTGCACACAATGGTGGTAACAAGGTAGAAACTATCGATCTCTGACTAATATTCCTGCTCTCTTCGATGGTCAAGATCATTTAACGAGTTATTGGTGTATTTCTACTGCCTCGTCTTCCTCATAACTTTATTCTTTTCTTATTGCCATATGACGTTCTTCTTGGAAGACTTTGTATTATAATTTTACCGGCCATCTAGGAAGGCATATTTACTTAATACGGATCAGCCTTGTAAATCCCTCCAGAGCATTAGATTGAGTTAATCGTCGAGCTCTTCCGGAAGCTAAATCTAGCCAGAACTATCGGGTGTCTGATAAAGTAGATTTCAGGTTAATTATGGGAGATACATGTAGGGCCAGCAAAATGTTACTGAGACCTAGACAAATCATCCGACAGTCAAGCCACTACATATCAAACATTTCATCGAGTCCCGTCAGAGTCAAGGAAAATAAAAAAATCTCAATCATTCGCACATATAGACAAGGGCACGCAGCAGTCGTCATTTACGTTTTCATATGCCTACTATTACTATTAGGTTATTGTAACAACGTTATGTGTGTTACACAGTCATCAAAGAACCAATAGTTTCTGGATACAATGGAAGGATAATCCATGTTAAGTATCAAGCACGACGTGTGATTTAGAAGTGAGCTGAGAGGCCAGGTACTTCTCGTCTAACCGGAGTAGGCACTAAATCATCCACATGGATCACGTACTTGGTGATCTACAGATCAGTAACCTTCAAAGTTAGTTCCGCTTTGCCAATGACAGGTGCAATCCCACAAGGCTTGATTCCAAGGTCGGTTGATGATTATCGCTCATCGATAGCTTAAATTATACTTAAGAACCACAGACTCTACTATATTCAGATGATCTCAGTAAGATATGGGGTCTTGCCGACATCTCTACTTTTCAAGAATTATTGAATATGGTGCACAGCTAAGTCACCGATCATCCCCATCCTATCGATACTAGCTGATGCGAAATGCTAATAGTAAACTTTTTGAGTCTTTCAAATGTCTCAGTTTTCACCACTGTAAAGGGATTCGGCATCGTCCTAAGCGATACCCTTGGTACCTCTTCTCACTAGGATTCGGTAGATAACAAAGTACAGTCCTTCTAAGTATTTCTCTCTATGGCTTTATGTAGCCGGACTTCATAACAACTATAAACTCTTTTAGGTGCATAAATAGGATATCATCCAGAAAGGACTGTTATGTTCTCATTTTAGAATGAATTTAAAAAGTAGAAACATACAATCTACTCGATCTGTAAAAAAAACCACTCATCATTCTGGGAGTTCTGAACTTGCAACCCAGGAAGTGAAGAAGGATTAAGGGGAGGTCACAGTGATTTATAATATAACTCATAATACACTTCATCTCGGCAGAGTACTTGAATGTCTAATTTATACTCATGAAAACATCTATTTAAGGTAAGAGTCTCACGAACATACATGTTAACTTATTATTGATCAGAACCAATGAGATGTGAAAATCTATACAGACAGCAATATTGACAGGATCTCGAAGGAAGACTTGAACTTTACTCTAGTTCTCTAGTTGTTGCGTGGGTTCACTTCAGTGAGAGATTTTAGATTTCAGATTTCTATAGTAAGGACAGATGGCCTACGGTTTATGTTATTGCTTTTCTAGTATGTTTCTGTGAGTGTCCAGTCTTCTCTTGAATGAGTCAATTGAAGGTATGGACAACGCTTCTTCGGGCAGCAGGTCCCAAGTATTGATGACTCGGCCTAAAAACCTGTATTCCACGGGTGTTTTGTTCGTTCTTGGCTTTTCTACTCGCCTGCTATGTCAGCTTGACTGAAGAAATACATTGACTAGAGTAGAAGCAGCAAAAAACAATGCTGATTTGAAGTAAATTTCACACCAACATGTAGAACATTACACTAACTGCGGCATCTTGGCACATTGAAACATTAATTACATAGCTACACAAAAGAAATAGCTAAAAGAAGCACAGAACGAAGAAAGCCGGCCGCCATTACGTACAAAGATGGCGGATATAATAATTCCCGCCACATTCTGATTGGTTGCTTAGCTGAAAAGCACATTTACGAAATTGAGTTGCGTTTAATTGCAGCCCACCAGTTCACATGTCCCTGAATCATGTGCCACTGTCTCAACTACGTTCCACAGATTTGTTTTACCTTTAAATCCCTGAAGTAAAATAACACGGAGCATGCTTTAACATTACTATCACGCTCTCCCACAGCCGAAAACAGACAAATAGTTCATTAATTTTTTCAATCAAAGTTTGAGGGCTTGGAGTTTGAATTATGATAGGCGCATTTAGTAAAGCGTGCGTTTCATCATGCTCGTGATGTGTTAGTCAATGAGGGTAAGTGTAGTGGGTTTTTTTTGCCAAAATTATACATAGTCTGAAAGTTAGCGTTTTTAACCCTAATTGTATTATAGTCATGATGGCGCACAAAACTCAAGCAACAATAGGGAAATGATATTCACTACAGATACTCAATATGAATTTTAAGCTGAAATCGACAAAAGTGTCACTTGTTTTGTTTGACGTTGGTAAATATTTAGGCCTATTACAACATTTTTTGATGATACTTCCAAGCTGCCAGCTTTGTTTTTTGGGTATTTTTAGTAGGTTTTGGTAAATATTCATACATGTGAATTTTGAGTATTTTCGGCAAGTTTTTCCCAAAATTTATCAAAACGCTATCTGGGATGTATCTTTTATTCACTCTGTACGGTGCGGAGCCGCGAACGTCTTGAAATCCGTGTACGTATTTTTTATGTTTGTTGACTTTATCAACCATCCCTAATTGCTCTCCGCTTTTTCGTCTTATTTTCAGATTTGACAATACTGTATGTTGTTATGTCAACCAATCAACTTTCAATTAGTTGAAAAACGTGCTGAAAAATCTTATAAATCAAACTGATATCAGTCATATCAAATACAAGCAGACCATACTTTATGCCTGTCGAATATTGAAGTCTTCTGTCCTTTTTTCAAAGTCATATGGTTTATCACTCTAACGGCCATTTCAATATATTAACGAGCACTTTAAGCTGCGCAAAAGCTCACTGTTTAATATTAGTATTATTTCTCCTGACTTGTTTTAAACATTATTCGAATCCAGTCTATTTCTAGTGTAGTTGTCCAGTGACATGTTTGTAATTTGATTGACGCAAATGATTTATCAATTTTAACAGTTGGTCATCAGTTAATTTTAAATTAGTCACTGCCTAATTTTTTCCACAATAAATTCTGAATGTATACTTTGATTGTATTATTTTATTTATATTTACTTGAAGGTATACCATATGGTGTTCAGTCACGCTTTCTACCTCTTATATTTCGCAATAAAGGTCTCTCACTTACTTCATTAGGTCTACATAAACTTCTTCATATTCCTTGGCTACTTAAAAGCTTTTATGCTCCGGTAATTGACAGACATGTGGACAAAAGAGTGTGGTTATTTATCACTTTCAGTGGTTTGTTTTTTTGTACAGTCTTATTATTTCACGAATGTGAACAATTGGTCAGTGGAGACAATTATTTCATGTTCACTATTTCTTCTTGTCTTTTTATGTATAATTTTTGGGCAGCTTCACAAGACATTACTGTTGATTCACTGACTTTGTCCACCTTAACATCAAGTCAAATCTCTTTAGGGAATACTATACAAGTTGTTGGCTACAAATGTGGAGCTATTATTGGCGGTGGATTTCTTGCTTGGTTATCAGCTTTTATAGAAATCAGTTATCTTTTCATATCACTTAGTTGCTTATATGCTAGTGGGATGTGCTTTTGTTTGATCGGAAAGTATTGGAAATTTTGTAATGTAAAACAATTTCACGAAAAAACGTATATTCAAGTAAATGGTAAGGTTAAGTTGATAAACTGCACCGTGATTTGTAGTTTTACAACGTTTTCGCATACTATTACTTGGTTTTTCATAAGAATTTTCGTCTAGATATAAACGAATAGTTTCGCAGTAGATGAGTTCGGAGTTAATATCAAATATTAAGGAGGAAATTATATTTGTAAAACTCGGCGGTTCAACTTTGAGTAAATCCAACATTTCGCACGGGGATCTTGTTTTTATTTTTATGCTATGCAAAACTTAAGAAAGTGATGTAATCCTCAGACCTAATTCTTTCAATGCAGTTCATTTTCAGACAGATCAATGCTTCCATCTTTAAAGGACATTATCAGTGCAAGGAGTAATCATTATTACCCAGCTGCCTAATTTAAGGCAAGCGGAATGAGGTCAGAATCTGGGACCTGGTGTTTTAATCACTAATTAGTCATCTCTTACTCAACTAAGTTATATTTACGTCAAATGTGTAAATTGCTCCCAATGCTCTTGATATCTGGAAAGACAATCAAAGAATGTTTGTGTTGAATATTTCATGTGTAAAGTCAAGTTCGTCGGGGAACAGTGTCTACTACTTAACAGTCCTGTCTCCATTATAGGTCGAAAGAGTGATTTAGTTCATAATATTCTCAGCAGGTATCAGTCGAGGCTATTAAACTTCAGTTCATCGTCTACTCAAAAGTGTGTCGTCGATGAGTTAAGTTAGCTAATGTTAAACAAACAGAAATCAGTTGTTTGTCGGATTGTTGCAAGTAGGTTTGCATTTCCTGCAAAAGCGTTCGTGAAACAACAGTCACTGGTTACAAAGATCCTAGATGACGGCTTAAAATTAGTTTTAATTTTTCCAGATACATTCATACTTTCAGATAACGTTTTGCAATGTATTACTTCTTACTTTTCCTAATCCTGACCTTTGTATGTTGTAGTATTTCTCTACTTCTTTTGATTTCCTCTCTTCATACTTTTGAAAAAGTATTTCAAATTTAATGTATAAAGCAAAAATTCACGTTGTGTTCGTCCGTCAACGCCCATGTAATTGAATTGAGGAAGGTGGGACGTGCTTTTTACATTCCACATGTGACATTCTGAATTAATTTCTTTTGTTTGTTATGGGACGTAGTTTGGAAGTGAGTAGTAAATGTTTGCTTCTTCGAGCACTCTATTTATTAATGGAGGTCCGACTAAGCTTTACGTCACTGCTGTAAGCTATGCACTAATTTAATAACACTAGAACATCCAGAAAATAAAATGTAAGGGTGCTAAATCCTTCTAATTCGTACGTTGGACTTATTATTTCACTTTAGGCTGGTTGACGTTAGGTTGTGCATTTTCATGTGTGGGACTTCGGTATTGGCTTGTGAATAGATTGAGTTATTATTTCAAATTAACCCAGGTGTTAGATAATTGGAATAGCCATACAAACAATTGGTCTAAGCAGTACAGTGACAACCATAACTTCAGCGTTCGGTATTTTCACGAGAATATTAGCTCTACTATGAAAATACGACGTCACAGCCAATAATTGTTTCAATGAACCCCAATAGAAAGCAAAGACTTTTCGGTTGTTCTGCAAGGTATTCTTAATCTATGCTAAGAGACTTTAAATGATATCTCTTAAAACCAATCGAAGTCCCGTAGGCGCATTCATTTTTGATCTTCAAATCTTGAGTTCTGATATTTATCCGATTTCATCCCTTGATTTTATTCGTTTCTTCTAAAATATGTTTTCGAATGTTTAGTTTATCGTTATAAACAATACTGGGCACAAGGTGTTAGGCGAATTGATTGGTGAGGTTGTGGAACTTTATCAACTGGGGTGCTTAGGACATGTGCTACGTACGCGTAATCACCACCTGCTTTAATGTTTAATGTTAGCTGGTGTATGAATTAGCTAGGAGAAAGCTAGTATCTTCTAACCCGAAATGTAACGTTAGCTCATGGCCCCCAAATGCCCTGGTACGGCCGAGAGTGGGGAGAGTTCGCTCTCCCTCTTGAAATGCTCTCACATGGCCACGTGTATATAGCCTCTGCCAGGGAAGTCCTACTCACTGCATTCTCGTGGCGGGGGTGTTGTTTACGGAAATGAGAGGACGAAAAGAGAATGTCCGGAGCTTTAACCGGATCCCAAACCAATGGTGCACATGGGCTCCAGTATCCTGCGGGAACAAATGGCGTATGAACCAATTGTTGGTCACCGGCTTCCATGGGACTGCATCTCCTCACGATGCTCCACTGCCTTGTGGATCAGACCCTCAGGTCGAAGGCTCGGGGTGTGGCCATCTAAGAAAACCACCTGCTTCGGTTCGAGCACCCGGGCAGTATCACAGCCCTCACACATATCGAGTGAGATTTGTGTGGCGCATATCTGTTTGGTGCCTCTTTGTACCAATATCTATGTGTTGAAATAAATAAAAAAAACGTTAGTTCTTGAGGTCATTGACTAATGGCCTATGCCATGTTGGTAAATAAAGACTACTTGGTTTGGGTCTGCGCGATCAATGGTTGAAACCGTCGGATAATATGTCTCAGAATTGCAAAAAGTCGTTAGAGACTAGGTAACATAGCTCACAACTGTCCATAATGACATAAGCACGCCCATTCTGTCTTCCTCTTGATCCTAAGTTTCCAAATTATCTTATAATTTTTTTTACACGAATCCATATCTTACATGCTTAACCTTTTCTATGACCACTACTATTTTCGCCATTCTGGGATTTGCTTTGACAGTTTCATCTCACCGTACTAATGTGATCCGGAAAATTGAACCGATTCACATTTGTGCCAGGTTCTTAGTCGCATATAAATGACTGATAATTTAAATCGGTCACAGTGACCCAAATGCATGAAATCTTTGCTTTGTTTTAGATCAGAAGTTCCAGTACGCTCATCAGCATACCTTTTCTTTCCATTTTTCTGAACCACATTCACAGTCTTTAGTCCTCATTGCCATTACTTACGCCTGTTACTCCCAATGGAGCATATTCCGCCGACCAGGCTTCTCCAACCCACTCTGTCCTGGGCCTTCCTTTCCAATTTTGTCCAATTTTTGTTCATTTTTCTTATGTCTGTCTATATTTCTCTGTGTAATGTGTTCTTTGATCTTCCTCTTTACCTTTGGCCTTGAGGATTCCATGTGAGGGCTTGCCGCATGACACTGATGGGTGCTTTCTTCAATATGTGTCTTGTCCACTTCTATCGCTTCTTCCTCCACTGGAATCTGGCTTGTTCTCTCCCACAGTAGGTTGTTGCTGATAGTGTCTGGCCGATGGATCCGAAGTATTTTGCGTAGAAAACTGTTAATAAACACTTGTATTTTGTGGATGATGGCTTCCGTAGTTCTCCAAGTTTCCGTCCCATACAGTAGAGCTGTGTTGATATTTGTATTGAAAATTATGACTTTGGTTTTGGTTGATAGTTGTTTTGGATTACAGATGTTCTTCAGCCTCATTGTCATTGGTACTACATTATTTTGGTTATTCTAACTCATCATGTTAAATTGTATGGGAACTTGGTCCAATGCACATCTTTGTCAGGTTATACATTGTGACTGAATGACTGATCTCAAATTGTTTTCGTTTTATCTCGTTAATTGTGATCAATTAAAGTATGACAAATTGAGCTGACGCATAGTTATGCAAGATTTAATACTGTTTATGATTAATTGGTGATAGCAGTCTGGTAGCTTAACGGGTTAAATTCAGAAAAAAGCACTGGTTTCATAACATACTGAGGATGCCATTATAACATATTTGGGTTAATCACGCTTTACAGATCCTATACATTTTATAATTCAATTGATTGAAGTCATAATTTTGCATTGTAATATTATATATCTTTGGCTTCTTTTATTTTGCGTGATTAATTGACTTTAATTTTCTTCAGAGAATGAGAATTCAGACGATGAACAAAATTTAACTATTGTATCGAAACAATATTCGTACACAAAAGCCTTCAAAATTGCCCTGGGTCATTCAGGTGGTTCACGTTGTCTTATTGTTCTTCTATTGATTTATAAACTTGGAGAGCAAGGATCTATGAATATGCTACCTTTGATGCTTTTAGATAGAGGATTTTCTCTATCTAAAGTTGGATTTTGGACAGGTGTTGTTGGACAGTTGGCATCTATAATTGGGTCTACATCTGGATACTATATCCAGAAAAAGCTCAGGTTTGTTTAAGCTATTGGACAAATACTTTCGAATGTTTAAAAAATGTTACAAAAAGACGAAGTTGATCTAAAATACATGGTATGCTTAACTCCATTTCAAACAGTCTGATCACAAATTTAACAAAGGATTGCATGTGCAAACTAGTGTAGGTCATTTAAGTAAACGGTCAAATAGACAAAATGAAGTATATAATACAAGATGGTCTATTATAATAGTAATAACTGGTTTTCTTTTTGTCGTTGGCACTAATATTAATTATGAATTATCAGGTCAGGTTAGAAACAAGAGTGAATTACTTCTGGATACCTAACTAAGGTTAATATTTTCCTTAGATTAGAAGTCATAAACTTGAAAGTGCACCGAATGCAGTTCCTATATAAGGGATTAAAAGCTATCAAAATGTTATTTGTATCGCCTATTTCAGTTTCTTGTTTTGCCTTCGTTTATCTGGGATTAAGGGGCTAACGAAATACGAAGCCATTTCCGTCATATCTACCAGTTGAATAGGTCGATTACTGTTTCCTACACTTTTAAACCATTGAAATTAATATAATGTTATTATAGGATGTTATAGAGATCGTTGAATCTAAAGCTTCACATCACAGACTGACTTTTAGGTAGATGACTAATGAAAGCAAGGAAGCAATGGTCAGTTATTTCATTCTAGTGTGGAAATTCTCAACATCGCACATCTACAACTTCATCTCTTCAGGTCTCAAGGTGAGCACCTAACATTCTGATCACAATTTACATTTCTAACTCCAATCAATTCACGATATGGTGTGACCAAGATCCATTAGTATCGGGTTCATTTGTATCACATCCAACTGGTCACGGCTTCTCACTGGGACTCTAGGATTTACATCTCGAAGTTAGTCACCAGCAAACACGTGGTGATTGTAATCATGTATTGGAAATATCGTTAACTTTTACCTATTCATTTACATGATATTAACGTCCATGCGAAATACGAGTTTCGTTCTCTTAATGACGATCAATTTGGCAGTTTTATGTCTTTTTCTTGTCTGTTTTCAGACTCCCTTTTAAAATTATGCTGTCTAACTTCATTTTGTAATGTATAGGAAAGGGGTTTTGATATTAACTAATTTCTATTTTAGAGTAAAAACTTTTGTAGCTATCTGTTTAATAGTGATGTCTCAGTAATATGTATAATCTTTTCCACTTGGCAACAAATAAAAAACGTTACTTAAGTTAGTTTTTCTTAAAAAAAGGTCAGAAAAGAGTGCAGTATTTATATTCTCAGCTTACATGAAGCCAGTAGGGATTAGATGAAACATATGCAGCACATAATTCAGATTTTGAGATTGTTTTCTCCTTAATGCTAAATATTTCAGGCACTTTCTCTCACGTATATACATTAGACACTCAAATTATATGTCAGTGATTCAAACCATTTTAGATTAGTTGTACATGAACAGTTGAACACTTACATTCCTCCCTCATTAAATATCACGGTTCAGTGCATATGACGTAATCCTTTATGTGCATACTTTATCGTTGAACATAAGACAGTTGTTCAATTGTCGTTCAACAAACGCATGCTAGTTTCTATTCGATTAGTTTTTCGTCATGGCTCTACACTAATATAATATATGTATGATTTGCAACAGTGAAATAATACTCAATAATTATATAATGACACATTGATCATAAAATAATGTTGAGTAATTGGGAGAAAGCGGATTATAATAATCAATGTAATTATTCGAAAAATCAAACAGTTGCTACGTTGCATAATATATAAAAAGAAGGGACTAACATAATATTTTAATGAAAGGTCGGTATTGTAGTAGTTATGTAGGAACCAAGGGATGAATTTTGAGAGTATGCAAAGTACAAGTGAAAGTAATTAGAAAATAGTTTAGATATTTTTGGAAGAACGGATTTCATCAAAGTTCATCTACAGGCTCACTCCAATACTGATGGACAAGTTATGGAGAGTGGTTGTAAAAACTTTTGAATGTTAAGGCTTAGTTTGTAAACACTGATCCCAGTGGCTTCAGCGTTGTGCAAAAGTTGAACTCGTAAACCAAGTGGTAAATTTGATAGAATATGGTGGATAACCTTAAAAGCTTCATTCATATCAACTTGGTGACTTGTGTCCACCAAGTGTGTGAGAATATAACTGAATCACTCATACTCGTCTTTTGCTCAACCAAAACTGATGGTGTTCTGCTATGAGATGACGGATTTGCCAAACTGTACACATTATATAACCAGCTCTAAAGGAGCAGTTGATTTGGTGAATATACATGGATGTGGCGAATTCAAGCAATCATTTTTAATAACGGTTCTTATTATGGGGCGGTTGTAGAGCCATGATGAAAAACTAATAAAAAATAAATTTCTCCTCAATTCGTTCTTTTTTTATCAAATGTCGAAATGAGCACTCCCACTAAATTTGTAATTCACTTAGTGGGTGTATTTGTTGTTTTTATTTTGTTCTCTGAGTTGAATGATGTAATTGTGTTAGGTTTATATTGATCTTTTTTGATAACATTATCATCAGCTTACAATTTCGTATTGACACTTTTAGATCTCCACTAACTTCAGTTCTAAGCCTAATGATAATTCGGGCTTGTTTACAATTCCCTCTAACAATGATTGCTTTCAAATCTATTTGGATAAGTGCACCTAACGTTTCTTTCTGTAAGTCATTCGATTTATTAATAAAAATTCACTGTTATTTATACAAGTATGTGTAATTTTTTTTAGTGCTGTATTGTATTTAATTTTATTTTTGAACAATGTGAATTAAAAAGGCAAGTTATGTAGTGTGTTGTTTATAATATTACGGAATATCCATTACATTATCGAAGTTTATAAAAGGGACTAGATTTTAAATAGATAATAATTTTAATGGTTAAGATCATGAGTCAGTTTAAGCTAGACCACCATGAAAAACCTGGAAGAACTGGACGGCCGTTTCGTCCTATTGTGGGGCTCTTCAGCAGTGCATATCCACGACTCCGCCCCCTGCGAGATACGAACCCAGGACCTGCTGGTTTCGCGCGCGAGTGGTCTAGTGGTTAAGTAGGTCCAGTGTTCGTATCTCACAGAGGGCGGAGTCGTGGATACGCACTGCTGAGGAGTCCCACAATAGGACGAAACGGCCGTCCAGTTCTTCCAGGTTTTCCATGGTGGTCTATCTTAAACTGACTCATGATCTTAACCATTGCAATTACTATAATATCTACAAAACCCTTCTAATATTAAATAATAATTGTCAAACGGACTAAAATATTATGATAGATTAAAGATCAAAGACATAACTTTACTATGAGAGAGATTTTGATATGATTTCACAGGTAGGTAAATAAAAATCATTATAAATTCGATTAGAAATCGAAGATATATATATATATATATATATATATATATATATATATAAGTAAATGTTTATGTAATGCATTTGTATTCACTTATTATCATATAAAATACAGATTGTTATGCCTTGTAAACCGTTAAACATCACGTGGATTTATTCGCAAATACGAATACAACTTGTATAATCTTAACACTGTGCCATAACAATGACATATTGACCAGTATGAGCAGCCTATTATCATTATTGATCCTTTTTCCCTCCTAGCTCTGCCTATTGAGTTCAGAATGCCAATATTAACTTTCACTATATGCATACGCATAGGTATATGCAAAGCAGACCACATCATACAATAAAATAAAAAATAACAATTGTACAAGGTCAAAACAAAATGTGGCTGTGATTGTGAGAGACTGTAATTAATAAATTGGGTATAACTTAAGAATAGTTAATCGTATAATAATAGTCTATAGGTCAAAATAAAGTCCATAATAAGAGGAATATGAATATAAATAATCTAATTAGTAAATAGTTATGCAATAAGAATACACGTATAATATTAATCCATTAATAGTTCTCAGGAGTTACCCATAATGTAATCTTTGCTAGGATATAACATAGATATGTAGGCTTGTCTTGTAAATACAGCAATATCGAGTGATTTTATTATTTTGGTGTATTTGGCATATGGCTAGCAATGGAATCCAGGTTGCATGTTTCGTCCTGGTTGGGACCCATTACCTAGATATACCTTCATTCCTGTGTTGATGTTTACATTGAAACTCGAATCTAGTATCTTTCATTCAATGATTTATTCATTAATCTACTGACTTCACTTATCTACTATAACAGGTATGGATGCATTATTGTCGACTCGTAATTTTTCATTGTTGATATCCAGAATTGAACTCTCTAAACGCATTAAGTAGCACAGTGGATAAAGCTTTAGAATTTGAGGGGAAAGGTCATGGATCAAAATCTTATTTTGTGAACATCAATACTGAGATTTAGGCAAATCTAGGTAATGATTCCCAAATGGTTATTACTTCTACTCACATACAAAACATTCTATAGCTTGATACATAATTTTAGGTCAAGACAGTCTGATCAAGATTCACATATGAGAACAGAGGCTGATTAGTTCTAAATATCAATGAAGAGAATAACATCGTTGTTCTTGCTCTCCTGAAGTTGATAAAGAGAACTATATGTCTAAATAATTAGAATCTTCGTCTAGTTTAAATTTTACTAGGAAGTGTCATTTTCCAGATGGAAATCAATCTCCAATTATTATTCTATTCGACAACCTGCTGTAAGTTAAGGATGTAAAACTCGTCCTACAGCGACAATGAAAAAAATCAATTTCTGTAAATACTGTTTATCTACACCATGATATCATGAATGAATGAATAAAGCTGTTGAGGTTGCTTGGTTCTTTAGTGTTGTTATGATTTAGTGACTTATAATTTGTATTACTGTTAACAAGAAAATAGTCTCATTGATAAGTTATCAGCTAACTGAGACTTATTGAACCAGGATGGGAAGCAAAAATCTAGAGCACTGTACTTATCATGTGTTGTGGTAGTGTTTAGTAAGAATTTTACAATTAATTTTGTTCTTTTTAAAAATAAAACCCCTTAGATTCATGAAATTTTTAAGTTTAATTACGAGACAGAATTCATTAGTTATCTTTCTTGTCTCGTTACTGGATATCTAATACTAATCGTGCCATTCAGTATGGGTTGTGAAGATTGTCGAATTCTTTCGAAATTACTAGCCGATCTATGTTAAATCACTATTGAAAATCTAGAAGTACTGGATGGCCGTTTTGTTCGAGTATGGGACTCCTCAGAAGTACATATCCACAATCCCGCATTCAGGAATCAAACCAAGGATTTTTTCGGTTTCACACACGAATACTTAACTTTTAGACCACTGATCCATCATGCAACAGTGCTTGTTTTCTGACGTTCTGATTGGTTAATACTTTTAAATCTAATCATGAAGATAATTGATTAGTTTAAGTTTCAGTTGGTTCTTCTCATGATTCAAAATAGAAAGCAGCGTTTCAAGAAGGTGATAACTTTTCATCAGTTTAACGAACACATATTTAATATAATTCTTATAATCATATTTACTTTCTTATTTAATTCATTTAGGGATAGGTTGTTTATTAATGAATATTTTACTAGTTGTGAGTGGAGGCATTACAACAATTATGTTCACGTTGATGATGCATTGTACATGTTCTGAATCATCTAAAGCCTATCAAGCAACTCATTATTCTATATTAAGTACAGCAGAATTATTGGGAAAACTTTTATTTGGTACAATAGCCGCATATTTTACAGATGTATTCGGATATGGAGTTGCTTATTTGTGCTTTTTAATTTTATCTATACTTCCAATTCTATATGTTTACAAATGTTCTGGGAAATTTCAATTTTTTCCCTAAATGGTTATTTAACTAGGTAAGTTTTTTTTTCAATTCAACAACAACATTCTTCCTCTTTAATGTCATTGATCTATTTTATAATCTATGGGATACATTTATTAATATTAATACTAAATATAGTAAGATACTTTATGTTTGAGTTTTGTAAATATGTATGTAGATTTGTTTGTACTTGGTTGTTGATTTCTTATCAATAAAGTATGAGTTTAAGCGAATTTATTTTTCTTTTAATGGAGTTTTATTCTCTGAGCTGGATGGTTTAGTTGTGGAACTTTCATCGTTCTTTTGAACGACATCATCAGTAAAAACTTCAGATATAATTTATTTTTCATTTGATACTTGATTTTGCATAGTTTTTTTTACGTAATTCAAACTTTAAATACGTTTCTAATTATTTGAATTACTATATTATTGATAATTTAACTGAATTTCGACCAGTATGAATTGAGATATGTGCATCTTTCTATATGGAATATTTTCATGTAGTTATTATGTCATAAGTTTGTATTGAATATGAGTGGCAGCAGAATACAGAACGCATGTGTCTTCTTATTTGGGACTCATTGAAGATCGAATATTATTTCTGAGATGCAGGTAATTTGGATTTGTTTGAATCGCAACAAAGCTGACAATGTGTGTGCATAGATATTCTTGCCATTTGTTTTTTTTAATGGTAGATTGTGCATGACGACGTAAGGTATATAGTGTGTTGTGTTCCAAGAAGATAGGAGAAAAAACAACCTAATTCGATCATACCACTGCATGTTTTCCCAACTCAGTAATTTCATTTCTTTCTGCATTGATGAGAGCCTAACTGTGTCTTGTATCTCCATCTAAATAGTATAGTCTTTTCTCCCACCCCCTGTTTCATTAACTTTATAATTCACTAACAGCTTAGTTTTATTGTATTATTTATTTACAATATTTAAGAATTTGTAGAGAGAACCGTTTCTTTTTTAGCAAACATGCATTTTAATAGTTATGCATTTTTAAGCAATAAGGGAGAAGCATGGTAGGTTAATTATTCATTTATCAACCATGACTGTTTTTTATGAGTGTATGTGTGTGTACACTTCTTATCCTGTCCATCACATGTCTGTAGCTTAATTTTATGTGACTAAATATTGATTAACGCTTGGTCAAATGGAGTTGGCTCACACACCTCCACAGCGCGTCATTTCGCTTCGTTCTTTTGATCATCTGTCCAAATCAATAGTTGTAAATAATATACGTATCCGGAGTCCATTCTCGTATTTGATTTATTTAATTCCATTATTCACTAACGCGATCTAAGTCGATCGAATGAATAGATCGACCTGTCCAAAAGCTAGAATAAGGTATATGGGCTCAACATAAAAACCGACACTATAAGTGTTTCAGGTGGATAGTCAATCCCCTCGCATATCAAACATCAAACATAATGAACAATATTCAAATGTTGATTTCTGAACTGTTGACATCTTACTGGTGATCACTCAATATTTATCGTCAGAATCGATAAAAAAATATTAAAGGAAGCTCGTCGGAATTCTTCGTGCTGAGAATTCTATATCGTGCCAAAAAATAATATTGAATAAAACCATTAACTGATAATAATAATGTAGGCTTTTACAGTGGGCACCAAAGGTCACTAGAGATATCTTGCTTATATGTCAGCCACGTGTACTGAGTACCACAATGAGAATATTATTTGATTTCTCCCTCCATTTCGTATGCTACTCGTGTTAACATTACTCAGGATCTGGCTAATGTCTATGTTTACTGACCGATCAGTATGGTAACACTGTAACAACTTAGACTGACTGATTCAGAATTGTCTAGAAAAAGCCTTGTAATGTTAAGACATTATAGCTCGAGTGTTTATTTACTTATTCTGTGTGGGGTTTATATTTCCAATTATTCTACGGTGGTTATCAAGAAGTTTGTGTGTTTGGAATACACAACCTCGAGCTCCATGTTGGATTTAATTTGTCCTACGGATATTGCAATAAAGCTTTAAACGCGGTACTGGCGACCCAAAGACTATGTGAAAGTTTTAGTCTGAACAAGGTCAACTTGACTTTAAACTACTTGTTTCTAAACATAAAATTAACAATTTGATCATTCCAACAACTAAAGGAATTATGGTGTAACGCACAAACATACCGACAGGTATTTCGTGTCTTATTGAAATGAATAAAAATTCTGACTCACACTAATATAATGGGATAATAATGTCCTTCATTTGGCAGGTCACATGCAGTAGGGATAATCTACAGATACACCAGACCAGATTGACGTAGTGGGCGTTTAAGAAACAGTTTGATCGATTAGTTATGGACATAACTAACACTTTGATTGTTCTATCTCACGTCCTGAAAAAAAATCCAACCAATAGTCTGGTTTCTTGTATAGATACAACGAGGGGTAGCTGCGAGCAAGAAAATGCTATTTTATTCTAATATGATAAATTTAAACTTTCAGATCACTAAGATGGTCTCAATATCAGTTGGTAAGTGCGGTCTTTAAAAAATTATTCTACTTATCACTAAATTAGATACGATACTTTCTATAGTCTTTATCACCGCAACTTCGAATTATTAACCGTATTGTACCGTTGGGTGGCTTTAATTAGCTGAGCTATCGTTTGATGCATTTTAACAATTACACGCAGTTTGGTTATATATATATATATATATATATATATATATATATATATATATATATATATATATATATATATATATATATATATATATATATATATATATGGATGTATGTATATTATTATTTTAGGTGCTTATCATCGAACTTGTTTGTTATTGATCTATAGAACTTGGATTTAAGTTGCTACCTATCTTCAGTCATAATGCTTTATAGGTTGGGCTGTGAATAGTTCTACAGAATAAATAGTCGAGTTGCAACATGGCCCAGCAACAGAAATGTCGTTACGTATGCGAGAAGTCAGCGGACCTATGTCGAGGACATTTTAAGATGAATCTTCTTACGTTTCCTTAACTGCTTTTCAACATACAGGCGGCCACTGAAAAACTAATCGCCACATACGGTTGAAGATATTTTTATATTAAGATTGGTCTACGCGAACACATTTACCGATATTTCATTGTAGAAGATTTTCCTATGCCAATTATTGGTACAGATCTGGTACAACATCATAATCTACGCATTGACTTGCGCGAAAGCAGGTTAATAGGTGGCAGCACTCAATGATATATTGGTGTAACATTTTTTCCGGTTGCAAATCATCCCCAGTCACAATAAGACAAATGATCAATACATGGTATCAACAAATACGAGGTAATCACCCCGAGCTACACCATACGCGATCGAAATTGTCATGTGCAATCAGAAAGTTTGCACATCACATCACTACTAAGGGACAACCTGTATTATCGAAAGAGCGCTGACTAGTCCTCGAAAAGCTGAGGTTGGCTAAAAAGGAATTCGATCACATGATAGACTTGGAAATCATGCGGCTATCAAGCAGTTCATCGGGATATCCCTTGCACGTTGTCCCTAAAAATGATAGGGATGTAAAGCACGTAGTTCTGTCGTCGTTTAGACCGAACGATGTTGTCGAAAGGACTCACCATTTTATTTAAGGCCCGTGCATCTGACTCCCATTTAGATCGTACGAATGTTTGTTATCGCCTATTCTCGTATATAATCGTCGACTTAAATCACGTTAGCCAATAACGGAATTAAATAAGTCAAATAAAGAGAATGGGATTTTGAATACATATATTTTGTATATGATGTGAATGGAATAGAAGAAAGAGAAGCGACGCAGAGTGGAGATGGCCGGTAAGCCAACTCAGTTTTAGTCAGGCGTTAATCAATATTTATAGGCAGACAAAAATAAGCTACAGACATGCAATGAGTCATGGTATATGATGTGTACACACATATACGCTCATATAAAAACAATCAAGACTGACAAGCGAATAATTAACAGGGTCAACATATGACTCAAGTAGAATGAATGGGATGGAATGTTCGAAAACTAGAATAAGATATATTATGGGCTAGAACTAATGACTAGCACTACACATTCATTATCACTAGCCATTGCCGCAAACCAATCCGACAGCTACCTTCAGAAATACACTCATTTCCTTGAAAATCGATTTTCTTAAGGCACAAAACCAAAATTCTATGGTTGTAGGCGAGATTCTTGAAATGTTTATGATTACTTTTTTTCGAAATCTACGAATTTTCGCCCAGGATGTATTTAGAAGTGCACGCGTATCAAGATGGGTGCTTGGTCACAAGTCTGGATAGAGAATCTCATCACAAGCATTATAATCTTTTTTCTAGCGATCGCAAGAACGCGGCATTGCTGTAACGTTTTAGAATTGCCAGATTGGAATTGCCAACCTGGAATTACGCGGATGCACTACTGACACACAAGACAGTCGAACTCTGCGAAATGAAATATTCCTTCTGGGCTATCCAGAACTGACCACACTAAAGTAATTACACACGTCCAGTGGTCTGATAATTTTCTATTGACGGTTGATGCCTAATTGTGCGTCTCTCATGCGACCAAATTCGTGGAAGCATAAATTTTGACAGCACCGCAAAAAGCACTCTACACGGCCAGAGAAAGTATCGTCAAACCGGCTATGTTAGCATACCAGCATATTAAAACTCTCATTATTATCGCAATAGACGCATCTAACTCAGCAACCGGAGTATATTTGACACAAGCGGTAAACAGAACCTGAAAATCTTTGATATTCTTCTCAAGACGGTTGCTTGACAATGAACTGAAATCCAGCTTTTTCTGCAGAGAAGGCCAAGAATCCACCCAGTTTTCTGACCATGAATCTTTAACATTTTCTATAAGCCCATTTTCAGACAAGCACTCAACAACCTCAACTATACAACACATTTCTGGGGCAAGCAATGTAGTTGCAGACGCCTTGTCTCGTATTATATTCTTTAGTTTCCAAGGAGTCTATCTTCCGAAACTTGTCCAGCTTCAAAAAGAAGAAAATGATCGTCACACAAAACGTGGACGGCAGTTCGAGTCTGAAATTTTTCCATTGTTTTACTATTACACTGGGAATCAAAAGGTTCCGAACGACAGCCTATCATCGAGAAGCTAACATGTTCGTCGAACGAGCGGGCTTACAAACGCTATGTGTTTCGTGCAGTCTGTTTCCATTCGACCACAGTCATCAGATGTTTTAGTTAATCGTGCCTTATGACATAGTACACACACTTTTATACGTTGTGACTCATCATCATTTGAAATAGGATAGTAATTACACGTTACAACTAGCTATTGGCTTTGAGCTTGGATAAGACGGGTTGTGGATCATACCTAAACTTTTCAGGGCCACTTGAAGATCCTTTTCCGTGGGTGGTTTTCTCAATACTGTATTTCGCGGTGTTGACATGAATTCTACTTGAACTATGAGGGTAACGGACGATCAATTGCGACCAAGGTCATTGTAGCCATGAAAACGATGGAATGCCGTCAAGCCGATATGTGTTATAGTCTGTAGATTCTTAATTAGGCTTTTTAGGTTGAGTTTTTACTTTTCCAGAATTTCGTTTTGTTATGTGTGTCGTCAGAAACCTCTGGTCATGAATAATTGCTGGTAGTAACCTAATATTCAGTTGCGATGGCACATTATTTTTATTGTGGCCGGCTTCGGATAACCCGGATCGACCACTAATTTACATTAAAGTATCCGATAAGCTGAAAATATCTGGTAGGTTAACTCATATTCAGCATTTCGATATGGCGTTTAGGTACCACCCAAATTATTCTATCTTCTAAATAGATGGCGATGAATTAGACAAGGTGTGATTGTGGGATAATCTTTATTTTCATAATAATTACTTTTCTATTAAGTAGTAATGACCTTACACATATGCATTTCTGTTATTCGTCCCTGTGTCAATAAAAGTAATGTTTATTATTATGAGTGCATTTTTGCGCTTGTGTTAGTTCATCGCTTATCTTGTTCATTAAATGTATGAATTATTTATAGCCTGATTAAAAGGCTCGCTTTTTGAGTACGCTGGTAAATTTCACTTCGCTTATTATAAGTTTAACTTTTATTAATGCTTCATTTCGCCCGCATATATGTGCATAAACTAAATGTTACCAATACATTTCATATTTGACCTTTATTACCGCCGGTACACAGCTGGGTTGATCTAACCGATTTATACTGTTCAACGTTTAGCCGTGTTCCGTTCGTTTTATTTTCTCAGATTAATCTTACTTTACGTCCATGTGTTTTTTAAACTGTAAAGCTCTTCAAATATAATGGTCGAGACAAAACATCGTTGTGACAAGACAACCAACTACTTCCTGCTCGAGTGATGGCTATAAAATATGGCATAAGGTGTATGCTCGATTTACTCTATTTAGTAGGCTACTGTCACTTTACTTGTGCAATTTATAGCTTCATAAGATGTCCATTCACAAAACAGAAGTGTCGTTGATGCCGTAAGCTAGAGCTACCCGACGTTGATGTCAGTGTTCCAGATGAAACAGGTTAGTCAAATACGGGCGGTAAACTTCGTGGAGTTTCAAACTTAACTCTGGGACATTTTTTACTAACTCGTTACTTAATAATAATAATTTATTCTCAAATAAAAGTTTGTTACATGAGACATGCCAGTTTAAAGCACGATCGAATTGTTATGAAAGATACCGTTATCATTGTGGTAAGTTATTCAGTTGGGTTGATATTTCATAATATATGAATGCAGATGGTTTTTCGAAAATCGTATTTTTACTATCACAGTTGTCGCGCTTTATAAATGTTGCGTTGCGCCGTGCAGCTGATGGCCGAGAATAGATCCATGTGAAGTTGAGAGATTCTAGAAACCACAACCTTATATTCTTCTGGAACATCTGAAGCATTAATGATGGCTCAGGACGAAGTCACCCATTCTATATGTGTATTCGATGATATATTTCAAAGGGGGGTGAAATGAGAGTAAGAAAAAAAGGACGAGAAGCAAAGCAGACAACATACATACTTATCGAAGTTGAGTCATTTGTGGAGAAATAGTTTAAGTATGACTACTTAGTCTAATTCTCTTTTATTAGGGTACATTTTAAGCGAAAGCATTTTGGTAAGTTAAAAAAATAGGAGCAAACGGGGTGAGAGTGGATAAAGAACTGTAAACTGGCATGCCTCATGTAACAAACTGTTATTTGAGAATAAATTATTATTATTAAATGAAGGTGGTTCAAAAAGAAGCTAAAGTATAGGATTATGTGTAGTATTAAAAAATAGTAGTGAAAACAGTATTTTGATACACAAATGGCAGTCTCCTTTTTTTTTGTCGAAGATATATCAGCTCATTTTAAATTTTATTGATCTTATAGGGTTATGAGCAGACTTCGTTTTTAGCAAATTGTCTAGTTTCGCTTGTAATAGGATTACTCGGTAGAAGTTAAAAAATTCAGCGTCACAAACATGACTTAAAGAGGTATTTTGCGTTGTAAATTAGTGTCAATATCATTGGTTTGTAATATTCCCCCTTGGTCATAAGGAGCCGTAATTCAACAACATGTTCATCTCTACAAACATGGGCTGATCGAAGTTATCTCCCCACCATCATGTTGTGCTGGTCAGTAGCGTCACCCTACCTGCTTTTGTGATGTTAGGTTCTCTTCCGTCTGATATGCATAACATTGCTCTAATATAAGTTCCTTGTCGGAATACACTTTTTCTACTAGTTTTATGTTACAAGCGATGCAGATGATCAATGCTATATTATGGGTTAGATATCAACACTGACATGAAGATAACTAATAGTATAAATTATACGACACTATTCAGATTATATGTGGTTTAGAGATGGTAAGGATAGATTGTAGTGGCATTGAGTCGTCACAGTTACGGATGGGTATTGGGAACATATTCCATAGTGAACTATACCGCACTGTAAAAATAGTACAACGCCTTGGTTTTTGGTGTTTTCCAGTAAGCATAGCGTTGTTTCTGAGTCTATAGAATAGGTCATGAATCGTGGTCACGCAGGAGGTTAGAAACGGGAGTCCATATATTGCTTTGCAGAGAAATATCAGATCGTTCCTTTGACGATGGCACAATAAGGGTTCCAAGGAGAGATGGCGAAGTATTTCCCTAGTTGATTTAACGATATAATGTGTTTACACTGAATCTGAATTTTTACTTGTGCTCTTATGCAGCGAGTTGTGATACTTAACTGTTTATGAGATCAGCTGATCAGAAATATGAATATCACGTGGAACAAACTTCAATCATACAGCAAGAGCTATTGTGCTAAAATATAAATTACAGGATGAAAATTCACGGACGGATTCACAGTTTGATTATGGGACGAAGTGCATTTAGAATAATAGATGAAGCTCAGAACAAAGAGAATGACATAGCTGTTAACGTCGGTACATAGTCAACACATTAGTCCCTTCCAGATAAAGGACTAAGTCCAGATGCTAAACCACTCAATCGGCTGATTACAGTGAAATTCAATGGAGCTAATGTACTGAAGGCAGTAAACTCTTCGGACTTGGAAGTATGGTGTCCGAAAGTCAATTTTCATTTGAAATCCTCTAATATACCGAACGCAACCGTTTATCGATTGCAAAAACTTAGAGTCAAAAGGAAATTTATTGTGTAGAGGCCATCCTACATCTATAAACACCTATTTAAATGTATCTTTCAGTCCCTAAGGGAGTTAGGCCCATTGGTGTTTAGTGTTTTATCGCTTATAAAATGAAGCCATTCATTGGAAAAATAAATACGCATGTAATTTGGTGGTTTCTGAGTGGTGCAAATTACCGTCCTCAAATGGTAGTTCTTGATTGTCCCGTCTCACTACTGGTAACGTGTCAAACAGTACACAACATGATTTTAGTAACGGATTGTCATGCACATCTGAAATTAGTCGCTTGATAATGGGAAACCAGCAAGTGATGTCTGTTTCGGCTTCAGAAGCAATTTTGAGGTTTCAGGTACTGAACTACTGTTTATTCTGGGAATCTCTAGACAACCGTCCAGAAGTGTAGTGATGGGTCGTCCGAAGAAAACTAGTATAAATCTCAAATGCTTCACTAAGAAACAAGCGGATTACAGTAAGTCACCATTCTGTACTATTAACCGTAAATACTCCACATGAATGAAATCCTAGTGTATTAGGTTCTCGACTCTACATTAAGCTGTTCACATTGAATGCTGAACGGAAGTAGCCGGAAATACCGACAAACAAGAAATTCAGGCCGACCTAGATATTCTAGCTAGCTAGTGTAAGTTCTGTTTTGTGACTATCAGTGTAAATAAATGTGGCCATCTGTACGCTAGACATACAGTTATCAAGCAATATAAAAAACTTGGGAAACATCGGTGGTGTTGTAGAGTCAGCGAAATGTCGTTAAACCCTAGTCAAATCATCCGGTAGTTGGATGACTGAATGTTGACCCCTGTTAAAGTCAAGGGCAACCAACGCGGCATGGACTGGCCCATGTGGTGGTGTCCTCAACTCCTCCCCTGTACCTAAGTTTGCCAATCCACTTCTGTAATAACGTACTTTACTTAACACTTGGAACCTGCTACTAGAAAATATGGCATCTGTGCTCTCAGTCGTTTCATTCAAGGAGAGATCAGACACTTATAGAGCTTTCGAGAAAAAATCCAGCACAGACCCAAAATTCTTTGCCATCAGTATACAAATCTGAATGTGGAATGTAAAGTGGAAGAGTCTTTTAGTGTAATTTAGTGGCCCAGTTGGTTTCTGTAACTAGTTTGACTCACATTTCCAAAATGATATCTCCTTCGTCAGCTCTTCGGCCTGATATAAAAGCTGGAAGGATAAAGCCCGGGACTGAGTGAAAAATGAAATCTTATTCCCTAAGTAAAACTGTCTGAAAATTTCCGAATTTTTCGTCGTTTTAAATAAAAAGGTGAAATCAGAACATTTCTCTTCATCCATCATTTAGAATAACAGAAAGCTGTGAATTATTTACGACACTGCCTACTACGTTAACGATAGATGTATGCTTAGTGGGCAAATATTTGAGAAAAGAAGCACAAAAACCCATAAGTAAAAACCATCCCGAAAATCGATATCATACACTCGGTGTGCACTTAAGTAGAAGAAATTCAGAAAAACACTAGACATAAGAAGACAGTCTTCATTAAGAAGAATAGTAGGTCGGTGTACGTATGGAAATCAATGCAAATTGTTTTCCAATGAAGGTCCGAAATGTAGATACTTTGAGGAAACCATAGCCGTTAAAACGTGCTAATAAATCAACGCTTCAAAAACTTTAACTTAAACCGCACGTTCACCATGCACATTCGAACAAGTATCCTAAACACGGTTGAAACTAAATCAGCGGACTTAAAACTTACAGCGCCTAATACAATCTCGACCTTGGTGTAGTGACACAGGGACCATGGTTACTATGGAGGTATTTATCCCTGCCTAACTTTGTTTTTTAGGAATTTAACAGTCACGCTGAAAAAGTTAAAAAGCTTAAAACAAAACCTACTGATAATGATCTCCTTGAACTTTATGGCTTGTACAAACAAGCTACAGTTGGTGACAACAATACATGTATGTTTTCTAGTTTATAGTTTATTCACTAGGTGCACCTGGTATCTTCGATCTAAAAGGAAAGGCAAAATGGAACGCTTGGAATGGAAAAAAGGGTAAGCAGTCGTTCAAAGCCATATATATGTAGTACAGGCATGCATGTACTTAAAACCCATCTTCACAAGCCCATAGGCTAGGTTTTCCATTTGATTAATCACAGGTTGCCACAACATTATAACAACTATGCATTCTGCAGACTAATGCTGGGAATTTTTCTGCGTAGGATAAGTTGAGAGACTCAAAATAATCACTCACCTTATATGATTGGGACACGTGCGCTTTTGCTTAATTTGCCATACACTGTACTGTATGTCTCTATGGTTGTGGTTCCTTACCAATGGTTTATATTTAAGATTGTAAGACCGACCTCAGTATTGTGTATTTTGACTAAAACATGCAGCACAATGACCGTCGTAGGAATGAACATCAGATTTGACCTGACTACCAAGGAAAAAATTTGTTTACTGTTGCCTAATTTGCCTTTTTCTATAAGCTTCTCTTGTGCACTACAAACTGAACTTGTAGACAGTACGTAAAACCGTAAGACTAAATATGAGTAGCCGTGGTTAGATGTCCCCATCACTACCGTCCAGAAATATATTAGTAGTGTGACGTTTGGTTTGATTGGTTCCCGGTTCTTCACCCGTAAACCAATGACCCTAAAGTACATTCTACTTTGATGTACAGAAAAATAAAAGCATTCTATGTTGAAACATTGTGCTAATTAGATAAAAAGAGTATACAAGATAAAGGTGGTTGTGTGCGTCCGACCAATGTAGTTGAACTACGTAAAAATATTTAGTTCAACCTGAGTTCCACTTCTTTTGGATGTAAAAGACAAGTTTCACTTTATTTAGTAACGCATTCTTTCAAAGTACTTCCCATACACTATAAAAATTTGTTGAGCTCTTGAATAATCTTAGAATGAAAGAAAATACAGATTAAAGTAACGATCTCTCTCTCTCTCTCTCTCTCTCTATATATATATATATATATATATATATATATATATATATATATATATATATATATACGTCTATATACGCATTCGTATTCCCGCTTTTTAAAACATGACAGTTGAGTGTTAGAACTCAGTAGCAAAATCATCCTGGGCTTTACAATTATTAATTATTATATTAGGGTTTTTAAGCTGCTAAACAAATAACCACAACAAATACTCGTTGATGGCAATCTTAAGGGATCAGTGACCATTCACCCTCCTACAAACAGAGAAACCTATATACCGTGAACTGAGTTTATAGTCTTCAGCTAATTATGAGTGCAAATATCCTGATTTTGTTTGATAAAAAATACCGTTAATTTTTCCGAGTATTCGTTGAAGGCAATTGAGAAACTCACATAATATCGGTCACTCATGTGCTAGGATACAAATTTTACTAAGGGGTGTTTTAAACGTATGGCTGAATTATCCGCCTAAAAACTTACTATACTAGACGTATTTTGGCCTTGGATTACCGTTCATATAGATAAGCTTAGAAAAACAATTTGTGGTATAACTGGGTATCTTTACTCTCATTTCATTGTGTAGTTATTTGCGAAATGTAGTGATTTTACTTACCGATAGTATAAGCCAGTAAAGTGTTTCACATTGATTTATTTTATTACCAACCATCAGCTCGCGACTTCACTTACTGATGTTTGAGAAATAGTCTATGTATCACTGTCCTGATAAATGGTCACAAAAAGTCACCAATCAGTCTTACGCAACGTAGAGCCTGCTATAACGCTAGCAAAAGTAATGAAAGTGGTTTCTTGTTAATTCTATTACTGTTTACTTCTAAATTACAGGTATTTGCAGCGAAGAAGCCAAAACGTTGTACGTGAATAAAGCTAAATGCCTTATTGAAAAATATGGACTGGAATCATAATTAATATTAATTTTGTTCAAGGAAACTAATTTATTCAGTTAAAATTCATATATTTTTGATATGATTTACATATTGAGTTCGGTTATAATTTTTACTCTTTTTTCTTCATCTTTTTTACTTGTTACTTTACAAATGTTAATCGTAACGATAGGGGTCAGTAAACATTTTTAATAGTTGTTATTTACTGTATATCTAAACGACTTCTATTGTCTTTCATACTTTTTTGTAATATCGAAATATATATTAAAGGAAACATGGAGATACTTTTTCTGTTCAGAAACAGCCAATCTCAGCAATTTGTATAAATGAAGACGTTCAGTCAGTTATATGCAACGTCGAACTAGACATATGCATTGGTCACCATGTCACATTATCATGACGAGATAAAATTGTTTCCTGACTAATCTTAGAGTAGTAAACATATCAGTAGTGGAAAAGGCTTGGCATAGAAAAAGAAAAACAAAGGTGTAAGGCGATTTCAAGACTCAGGTTCTATAGAGACATGAATTAAATGGACATGTGCTATGGCGAACGACTCTGAGATGTCACTCGAAACCCAACCGCTGGTTACGATAATCACGTGGAATCCGACTAGGTAGCCTACAACTATTTAAATGAAGCAGTTCAGTTGCCAATGACTTAATGCCATGGAGTACTGCAAATATATGATTTAGTGTAGAGGCCTGATGAAGAACTAATTGAGAAGAACTATTTCTTCTCTCAACCTGTCTTTTTAATTTCTCAGTGGGAATATTTGATTACTTACATTGGCCGGTTTTAAAAAAATAACTAAAGTAATGGAAGTCCTCTGCGTATTTGCACTAAAAGCAGCATACACGAGTTGTGCTTTCTTTTACTTGATCAGACCCATCATTGAAAATGCCGCTAGTTGAAATCCTACAAGAATAGCGTCAAATTCAATCCTTCACCCAGTATTCAAAAGAATTATTCTTAAAACCAGTTCAAAAATTCATTTAAACAAGTAGAAACAACAAGTTAATTTGATTGATGTAAGGACTTAAATGAATATTTGAATATATCTCGTTCGTTTTAGTTAGAATGTTTGTGACCATCCGTTGCGCTGTCATTTATTGACAAGCTGAAAATATCGATCGTCGAACTGTTGTGTGGATTTAAGGGGTACTGTGCTCGCCACGTGATCCCTGGTTCTGGGGTTCACTGTATGGTTCCCCCAGATCACGCTGTAGAGTTAGTTCCAACTTAAATCTAACAATTATCCTAGCGTTCAATGGTTTTTGGTCTGTTTTAATGCGTAACAAAAAGCACGCTTTATTGATAACGTGAAAAGGACTCAATTAAAATTCGTTCCTTTATGATTAAAATTGGGAACGTACCAGATACTTAAAACCTATCAGACAAGGTTAGATACCATATGAATTAGAAAGATTCAGTATAATAATATTCAGCTTTTATGTTGGTAAATTAATTTGTGAGAATCATAAGGAGGGTAGAGTTTACCGAAATACTGAAAGGTAAACCTAACAAAACGCGAATCACATGGGTTAGAGAAGTCTACTAGATGACAGAAATTCTGAATATTAATAGTATGCGTATCAATCAATCAACAACTCATCACAGTATCAAACATTCATGCGCTTAAATTTACTGGTCAACATACATGAGAAATATACCTTCACTTTGTTCCTGACACACTGTTATCATTATTATTATCAGATGCAAAAAGTGGGTTTAACGAGTAATAATAATAATATAATAACCATAGATGTATTATTACTGAAAGTATCTCACTATCATAGAAATGAAGAGGATTCAGCGAATAAAATTCTCTTCAAGGCAATCATCTACTTAAGCTGTACATTTGTGTTTATAGTTCGACAAGTATATGTCTGTAGAGAAATAGATTGTAAAGTGCTCCGAGATTTCAAATATCAAAAGGAGGGCGCGTAATGATCCCGGGGTTGGAGAAAGATAGGAGGATGAAAATAATTTACCGGTCGGAAATATGAGACAATTACCTACTTGACAGATAGGAAAGGAAATGAAAAACGTAAAGCTCACAATAATTGGATAATCATGACAAATAGAGGAGGATAATACGGGATTACGTTTTGAAAAAAATTACAAAAAAACTCAAAACGTACCGGGTGGGGTGATAAGGACCAAGGAAGGGTGAGTGGTTAGTCATTTCGTTTTCGCACAGATAGTCCGGCCATGAATTGGTGGATCGTCAACTCTTCAGCAGTGCATAGGTCTTTGTCTCAACCTCCGTTTGGTCTAATTCTTTTGTTTGTATAGATTACTTTCAAGGATGACTTCTGTGAAGTAACGTGTTGAAGATGCCACAGATATTCGGAGTTTGACAACGCTTTAACCAGTAACATCTATATGAAGCGTAACCACCAAAGGAAATCAGAAGACAGAAGCAAGGAGGTTCGAAGATATATTTGATAGGCTATCAATATATCGAGGATCGTCTGATCTAATCTGGCTAGCAATTGCAGAGGATGTTGATCACGGCGTTCCCACTCGTGATCTGGTGCGGATGCATTACCGAGCGCCTTCAGATAGGTGAGTCCATTAAAACATGTGGTCAGCATCCAATGTCGAAAACTTACAGAGCTATTTATTTTGGGGATTTATTTACCACTACAGTATTCAGAGTTGTTCCTGTATTGGGTTGATGATAACTTTGGATCCCGCTTTTAAAAGCCACTCGAAGTATTATTTTTAAACGCGTTTGGAAATTGATCGTTTAGTGTGACATTTATAACCTCCCCCACAAGATCAAGGAAATTTTTAAAATCTATATTGATTCGATAAAAAGTGAACTTTTATCCGTGACTGGTAGGCCGGTTTGAGAGGACAATATCTATAAAATCAGACATGTTGAACATATTTGAACTATTTCGTTCATTTTTCAATTAGATATTTAATTAGATTTTATTTGTCATCACTTTTATTGTTATTAACAATGTAGTGTTTTCTCACTGTGGTTTTTTCAAGCTTTCTCTCTCATAATATCTGGTCACTAAAATGAATACACTTTGATGCTTGGTTTAATAGTGTTGTATATAGAACCTGTCATACAAAGTATCTCATTTAGTTTCTCACTAATTATTATAAATTAAATACCATAAAGATACCTCATAATAAGTACATAATTTATGTAACATATTAAGTTCACCTATTTGTATTATTGATATATTCACATTCCTTTCTAACTTATTTACATTTAGATTATTTAGCAATCAGTCATCAATACGTACGGTGTACGAGATGATATTGACAGCATAATAATTATCCATGGTACAATCAAATGTACCAATACACGTATATCCTTTAGTTTGTTTGACTGATGTTGTAAGATGGTTACGATTTTTATATTTCGAACAATTTGATTACATATACAGTTGATATTTTTCACGAACTATTAAAAGCCAGGAAGCACTAGAAAAGCTGTTTCAACTTAGTATGAAGCTTCTCAGAATTCGCCCATCCATAATCCTACACCATGAGTCGAGTTCAGACTCTTCATAGTAAGCGTCTAACTTTTAAATCATTGAGTTGGCACTCAATGGCTTACATTTTCAACTTCAGTCGATTAGAAATATTGTGTAACTATTTTTCAAAATCATTAATAGGTATTTACCTCATACCTAACATGTTCCAATCATTCAATGATACCCCAGTTTTTAATAGGTTACCAATGTTTGTCTACTAATTTATTTATTCATTCATTCATGTTACTAAGACATTATTCTTCATAAAGTGAACAAAAATTCTTTCATGAAATTTTATTCCATACTTTTCTTTATTTCGTCTGGTTTTTATTTATTTATTTTTCGTGTCTTTCTTCTCATTTTTTCTTTTGTTCAAATTTTTTAACGAATATCAAATTTCAATTTCAAATTAAAAAGGGAAATTGAAATCTTGAATTATTGAAAATGGAGGGCAAATAAATAAGGAAGACATGGTGAATGAATGAACAGGAGACATAGGAAAAGATAGTACGTACGTACATGTGTGTGTGTGTGTATGTGTATGTGATGGGAAAAAAACAACCCCAACTCGTCACAATTATGATCATATTAAATATGAATAGTGAAATGAAAGTAGGAAAAAACCATTACAAATAAAGGAATGAAATAGATTAAGAGACTGTATATATTTTATTCCTAGTTGAAAGAAAAACAAACAAACAATCAAATACAGCTACATCAACAATAAGGGATCACAAAAAAGGAATGAAAAATGAAAGTATTTTACTCTCTTTATCATTTTCGTTTGTTTTTTTTTGGATCCAATTTATTCTGAATGTTATTCATAAAACAAAATAGAAAAAAATATTCAATTTTGTTTAAAATTGTCATGGAATCATATTTGGAAATCAGAAAAAAAAGGAGGAAAAACAACAAAAAAAACAAGAAGGGAAACAAAACATCAATTTCGATTATGTAATCAGTTGGAATCACTTTTTTTTTATTTCTCTTAAAATTCTTTTCTCATGTCATGTCACTATGGTATATTTGTGAGTTAACTCTTCTTTATAGGAATATATATATTTATAGAGAGAGAGGGAGGGGGAGGGAGGGAGAGAGAGGAGGGAGCGTGTGTGTGTGTAGCAGATTAATTATTATATGAAAGTGTATAGTATTGTTAAATCCAAGATGAAGTAGAAGTTTTCATCTTTTTATAATGTAATGTGTTAAACGTTTGTACAATCAGGAAGTGAATGGGTGTTGATCATCACTTTCTTTTCTTTCCTTTTTTTTGAAAGGAACTTAATTTGTTTTAATTTTAATTTCTTTTAAGCGGAATATTTAAATAAACAATATTTTAAGAATGATGAGTGAATTAAGTGATTTTGTTATTTATTTTGTTTGACAAAAGTATTTATGTATGTTTTGGGATATTTGATAAGAAATAAAAACATTGATATTATAGATGTTAATAGAGTTCTAGTGTTTGTTTAAGTTTAAGAATTTTTGATTTATAATTGTCTAATGCATAATTGTAATTAACAAATATAATTGTAATTTGAATAATACAAAATGGAAATGATCAATGAAATTGTATTCAGAAAAATGATGATGTGAATAGAATGAGTAGGCAAATGCCCTGATATGGTCAAGGGTGGGGAGAGTTAGGTCTCCCTTTTGAAGTGTTTTCACATGATCATGTATATACAGCCACTACCAGAGAAGTCCTGCTCACTGCTTTCTCGTGGTGGGGGTGCTGTTTGAGAAATCGAGAGGACGAAAAGCAAATATCTGGTGC